TCCAGCATCCTTCCCACCCTGCCTTTATCCCCATCACCCATCACCCACCCTGCAGCCTCCAGCATCCTTCCCACCCTGCCTTTATCCCCATCACCCATCCTGCACCCTGTGGCCTCCAGCATCCTTCCACCCCTGCCTTTAACCCCATCACCCACCCTGCACCCTGCAGCCTCCAGCCTCCAGCATCCTTCCCACCCTGCCTTTATCCCCATCACCCATCCTGCCCCCTGCCCTTACCACTCCCTCGGGATCCACCAGCAGCAGATGCTTGGGCTGCCCGCTGTGCATGCCGGTCAGCACATACTGCCCCGGGTTGGTGAGGCTGTCCCGCACCAGGAAGTCCCCGTCCATCTGCAGGAGCCTCTCCGCATCCCTCCGGCTCATCTTCCCGTGGTACCACGGCTCCCGCCTGAGCTGCTCCTCAGTGGGGGCAATGGGAGCCTTCCGCGTCGGGGGGCTCGGCCACTGGTCCTCGATGGGGGGGCTGCTGCTGCCCCCCACAATGCACTCGTGGAGCTTGAGGGCATCCTCGAATGGCCCTGTAGGACCGAGGTGAGGGGATGTCACCCCTCAGGGCATGAACCTGGGGCCATGCAATGGGCACTCCCCCCCCGGCGTGGTGGCTTACTCATATCAAAGAGGTCCTTCTTGGGGCTCTCCTCCGGCACCCCCCGAGCCGCCGCTGCCTCTGGCTCCCAGGCATCCAGGCTCTGTGTGTTCACGTACATGTGCTCCTCGTAGTCCCGTGGTCCCAAGGGGTGGCCATCAGCCTGCAGGTACCCATCCCCGGGCTGGCCTGTGAGGAGGGGGCATCACCACCAGCCCAGGCAGGGCAGAGCCATAGGGACCCCCCCCACTGAGCAGGTGTCCGTCATCCCCCCCCAGCGGTACCCACCCTGGCTCTCCAGCTCCCATGGTGGCCCTGGCTGGCTGCTCTGGTCTCTCCTGGCTGCAAACCCGGCCTGGGGAGAGGAGGCAGTGAGGATGCTATGGGGGGGACCTGTGCTGGGGACCCCCATAGCAGCGACCCCCGGGGGGGGGGGGGGGGAGGCTCACCTGGCTGGAGAGGATGGAGCCGGAGGGTTGAGTGCGGATGTGGCCCAAGCTGGGGCCGTGCCGGAGCCGGGAGTCGATCAGCCCGCCCGGGGGCGGCTCCTTGCCGGGGATGCTGTTGTAATAATCGTGTTCGGCCGCATCTTCATCCTCCCCCCAGACCGAATCCTCGGCACCCAGCGCCCTGCAGCAGGGATGGGTGAGCCGGGGACACCCTGAGGGGCTCAGCAGCAGGGCTACACCCCCCCCCGCCCCCCCAACTCCTTACCTGTCCGGGGGCACCACCACCTTGGGGGGGCTGTGCAGGTACTGCTTGAAGCGCAGCTCGAAGGCCTGCCCCACCGTGCTGATGACGCTCTGCGCCAGCCCCTCGCAGCACTCCAGGATGTGGCAGGCTGTGGACAGATGGCTCAGATGTGTCCCCCTGCTCCCATCACCCCTCTGGGAGATGCCCCTTGTGCCCCCACACACGGAATCCCCCCCCATCCTCCAGCCTTCATCCCCTCCTCATCCATAGAGTCCCCAGACCAGCGTCACCTCTCTGATTGATGGGGTCCTTGGCGACGTAGGCGACATAGTCCGTGGTGTCCTGAGGGCACAAGGGGAGCTCAGGGGAGCTGGAGCAGGGCTGGGGGCTCTGGTGCAAGGGGAAGGGCCCCAGCCCCATGTCCTGCCACAAGACTGGGAGCCCCTTTCAGGACCACAGTACAGGGTCTCACCGTGTCCCCACCGGAGGCGAAGGAGATGGATTGCATGTGGTGGTTGGCGATGATCTATGGGGAGAACATGGCCCATGGCTGGGGTTAGAATGGGGGCCACCAGCTCTCCGGTCTGCAGCAGGAGGCAGAGGGCTGGGAGGTGGCAGTGCCACAGCCCTGGGGCCGGCTCTGACCTGGCGTGTGGTGGGGATCATGAGGTTCAGCCCATCAACAGAGATGTTGACAGCGATGCTCATGCCAGCAAAGCGCAGGTTGCTCTTGCCCAGGATGGAGACAAGGGCTTTGTTGGGAGCCTGACAGGGGGAGAGGACCATGGGGGGTGTGATGCAGCCCATTGGGTCCAGGCTTCCTGGGCTGCAGGAGGCAAAGGGGGTGCCCCAAGAGACCCCAGGCTCTGCCCCATGAACCAGGCAGCCACCTCCAGCACCCTGCCCCAGGAAGGAGCACAGGGACGGTCAGACCGGGTGGAAACTCACCTTCTTCTTCCAGATGCCCTTCACGCCGGGCACTGCTTCATACAGTCTATTGATGGCTTCCCTGTAAGCCATAGCCCCGGGCCCAGTTATTAATCCAGAACACCACCACCACCCCACCCCCCCCCCCCAGCCCCTTCCTGGCTGCCCCATGGCATCAGCCCCACAGCCCCGGGCACCGCAACCTCCCCGCAGCGCTGCCCCACGTCACGGCCGCGGTACGTAATCCCGGCCAGGGCCACCTCCCTTCTCCTCTTTCCACCCATTGATCCGCAGCAGTGCCCTTCGTCATCACCCTGTGTGCAGGGTGGATCCATGGGGCAGGGCTCCCCATCCGGACCCTCGGCCCTGTATGTCTCCCTTGCCGTGTCACAGGGCCCCCTGGGTGGGGTGGGGGGGAGTGGTGGTGGTTTTGGGGTGCAGGATGAGCTCGGGGCCGTACCTGGTGACCTGCGTGCGGGTGTTGAAGTCGAGGGACCTCATGGAGCGCAGCACCTCGATGCACCCCATGTACTACGGGGTGGGGGGACACGGTCAGAGCGGCCTCCTCCAGCCACCGCCGCCAGCACAGGGCAGGTGAGGAAGAGGAAGGGAGAGGAAGAGCTGAGTGTCAGCGGGAAGGGCCCCTCTCCAAGCCAGCTCCAGGGATCACCCAGCACCCTTTTGTCCGCCACCCCAAACGATCCCATTGCACGCCCAGAATCCACACTGAGACCCGACAAACTCATCTCGGCGCTACGGCTCATGATGCCCTTGGAGGGGTTGAATCCTGCTGGGTCCGAGGCTACCTCGTGGCTCTGAACCCCCCTGGTCCCATCCCACCCGCACCCGGTGTGGTGAGGCCGTCCCCGCCAGGATGATCCAGACACCACTGAGCAGGCAGCGGGGACATAAACCGGGGATGGATGCCCGGGGACCCCTCCGCATCCCCTTGGCCGCGGTCACGGCACCGGGCTCGGGCTCCGGTGGGACTTACCCGGACGATGTAGGAGACGCCGGGCCCCAGCACCCGCTCGTCGGGGTGCAGCCAGCCCTGCGCCGGTTTGCGGATGAAGCTGCCCTTGCGGCTCCACTCCTCCGCGCCCGGCCGGGTCCCCGCCGCCGCCGCCGCCCGCCCCGCCGCCCCCCGTGCCCGCCCGCCCGCCGGTAGCGCGCACGGCGCGGCGGGGCACAGCGGCTCGCAGGCGGCCAACACGGCGGCCAGAGCCGAGGGGGGGCCCGCCCGGGCCGGCGCTGACAGGTCCCGGCCGCCACCGGTACCGGCGGAGGGGCTGCGACCGAGAAAGCCGCCGGGACCGGGGAACTTCCACTGCGGCATCCGCGGCAGCAGCGCGCAGAAGGTGGTACCGGGCTCGGGCTCCTCGCCCGCCGCGGGGCTCGGCCCGGGGACCGGCGACGGCATAGGGGCGGTCAGCGGCTCGTCGCGGAAGCGGTCATACTTGGGCTCCGGGAGCATGCCCGGGGCCGCTCCGCTCCGCCGCTGCCGTTCCGCCGCCGCCGCCGCGCCGGCTCCCGCCCCCCGCCCGCTCCCCCGGGGCCGCGCCGCGCTGATGTCATGGTGCGAGGGCTCCGCCGCCGCCCCGGCCCCCCCCCGGCCGCCCCAGCATCCTCCATCCTGCGCCCTCCCGGCCCCCGCCGCCCCACCCCGGCTCCCTCCGGCGGCCCCGGCCCCGCTGCTCCCCCCAAGGCACCCAGAAGGGGGCTGCGGAGGCCCGGGAAGGGCAGGCGCGGTCCCGGTGCTCAGGGACAGCTCGGGGACGAGGCCGGCCGGAGCCTTCCCCGCCCCTCAGCTGGCACCGGCATCACCGGAGCCTCCCAAGGGGCCGCCTTTGTCTCGTCGTCGCCTCGGTGCCTCTCGGGGCAGCGGCCGGTGGGTGCCCCGAGTGCGATTGGTAACTCGGGGCAAGGAGCCGCTTCTCCGCTCCCCCGGTTCGGTTCTCAACCTGTCGCAGAGCACCGGAACGGGCCCTGGCTCCACCGACCCCACGGGGGGAAGGGGGGGGGGGCGTCTCTGATGGGGCTCCCGGTGCGGGCGGGTTCGGGTGCCCGTTCCCGGGGGGCGACTCTAGGGAAGGCTCCGGGTCCCTCGCCCGCTGCCCGGGGACCGTTCGCAGGCGATCGCGGGACCCGGTTCACGCCAGCTCCGCTCTCCGATCCCGGACTCGGGGTCACTCCGCAGCTTTGGGGGGGGGGGGAACGGGACACACAATAACGGGAGGGGAACGCGGGCGGGGCCGCTCCACCACCGCAGCGTCCTGAGGGACCGAGCTCCGGCTGTGCCCCGCCACCTCTCGGTGGCCCAGGAAACGGACCGGTTGCAGCTGCCTCCAGCCGGGACACCGGGAGCACGGAGCGAGTTAAACCGAGACGAGCCGGTAGCGACGGGGCCCTGGGTCTGCACAGCGATAAGGAACCCCCGTCCCCTCCGCCCCGGGCCCCTGCGGCACCCGCGGGAGGCGCCGCTACCGGTGCCACCGGCCCCCGGAGGGGAGGTACCGGGAGGACCGGCGTATCCCACCATGCCCCGCGCCCCGCCGAGGCGGCTGTAAGCCCCGCCCACCGCATCCCTCCTCCTCCTCCCAGCCAATCAACGACGCGTTCGGCCGACGGGGAAGGGACGGGGCAGCCAATGGGATGTGAAGGTGCGTCCCGCCGGAAGGGCCCGTCAGCGCCGTCGCCTGGGTGACGGGAGCGGGGCCTGTGGGCGGGGAGGTCCTAGCGCCGCCGCCGCCGCCGCCGCCGCCCTCCTCCTCCTCCCTCCTCCTTCTCTCCCCGGGCCCGGCGCTCCCCCGCCCGGTGCGGGTCTGTGCCCGGGCCCGGTGCTCGGCGCGGCGCTGCCCGCCGCAGGGACGATGGGGCAGCCGCGGAGGCCGGCGAACGGCAGCGGCCCGGCGGCGCCATGACCGGCGAGAAGAAGAAGAAGAAGCGGCTCAACCGCAGCGTGCTGCTGGCCAAGAAGATCGTCATCCGCGACGGGGCCGGCGTGAGCGCGGCGGGGAAGCGGAGCCGGGGCGCGGGGTGGGGTGGGGGGGGTGCTGGGCGGAGGTGCGTGGGCCCCCCTCGGGCCTGCCCCGGGAGCCGCGGAGGTGTGCGCGGCTCGGGCCTCGCTCGGGCCCGGGGTTGTTTTGCTCCGGGCAGACCTCTGGCTCGCTGCCGTTTCACCGGGCGCGGGTGCTCGCTGGTCCCGTCGCCGTCTCTGGCGTGTACCGTGTGCTTTGGAGGTGCCAGGCCGCGGGGGTGAGGGCCCCTGGGGAGCAGTCACCTCCATCGAGCGGAGGCCGGTGCTGCGGGAGAGGAGCAGCGGTTACCGTGAGGGTGCTGAGGCGCTGGCACAGGGTGCCCAGAGAAGCTGTGGCTGCCCCATCCCTGGCAGTGTTCAAGGGCAGGTTGGACACAGGGGCTTGGAGCAAGCTGCTCTATGGAAGGGGTCCCTGCCCGTGGCAGGGGTTGGAGCTGGAGGAGCTTTAAGGTCCCAAACCATTGCATGAGCAGTGCTACAGGGACGAGCATCTTGTGCCTGTACAGAGACAGCTTTGGAGTGGGTGCACCTGAACTTAAGGTGTCTACAAGCATTTCCCCCTTGTTGTGCTCTTGAGAAGGAGCCTTTGGCCTGCCCTGCTGTCTCTTTGGGTCTTTTTACTGGTGTTTTATGGAGCAGCTCTAGTGGTGAGAGGAGATGTGCTGTATGGGTGGAGGACTAACCCAGTGAGGTGGTTGATAAGTGGAAGGAGCGATATTAAGCTGCGAGTGCGTCAGAGCTGGACTAAACTCCATCAAGTTCATTTTAGTGCAGTCATGGGAGAAATGTTTAACTGTGGATGAAGAGGGACAAGGAAAGGAGGAGGAGAGGGATGCTCTCTGGAGGAAGGTGGGTAGCGGTAGCTGTACTCATTACAGCCTCCTGCCACCTTCTCCCTCTGCTGCAAAACATTCTCCTTTATATGCAATAAAACTGCATCCCCTCCTCTTGCCTTGATGCTGTTGATGTGGGGTTGAAGCAGCTTTAATAGTCTTTTATTAACATTTGAGCACAAGAACGTCTCTTGCTGCCTCCCCTCATGTTTCGGGGCCTCACGGCTGTGGTGGTCATCTGAAATGCAGTGTGAGCTGCAAAACAAACCTGTTCTGGCTGGGAGGATGGAGCTGGGGAAGAGATTGACTCTCTGGCTGGGAACGCATCACGGTGAATGCTGTGCAGCAGGACACAGACCCAGACGCCTCTCTGGTGCCTGAAATAACTTGTATATCAAGAGCATGGGGTAGAAATGCCAGGCAGCTGTGAGGAGGTTGATACCCAACTCTTAGCCTGAGAGAAAAACACTGGCCAGGTTGGATACAGGGGCTTGGAGCAAGCTGCTCTAGTGGAAGGGGTCCCTGCTTGTGGCAGGGGTTGGAACTGGGTGAGCTTTAAGCTGCCTTCCAACCCAAACCATTCCATGATTTTAATGATGCTTCAGTGTCCAGATCTATCCTGGATTGGGATACGTCTGCTTGCGTTACTCATGGAGCTCTGTTTTGCAGCGACAGGGCATTGGAGAGCCCAGCGTGTACCACGCCGTGGTGGTGATTTTCCTGGAGTTCTTTGCCTGGGGGCTGCTGACCACGCCAATGCTAACGGTGAGTGAGTCTCCTTGGGGATAATCCTGCTTCCCGGGGACAAGAAACCACCCTGGGTAGAGATCTCAACACGGAGCCTTTGGAGCCTGGGGGGTAGAAACCAAGAGGTACTGGTTTGTACCTGGAAAAGCTGGAGCAACAGTGATTGTTTTATGGAGTTGGGCAATGCTTTTCAGGATTATTGTAGCTATACTTGGAGCAAAGCAGGAGTTAGAGGTTTGAAGGCTTATTTAGGGATAAAAGAGGTTTTTGTTGAACTGCCACTGTCGTTCTCTGGGGCATCAAAGCACAGAGACAATTTCCTGGCCGTTCTTTATGATGCCAAGTCATGCTCCTGCTGGAGAGCCAGTGACTCGTCTGGGATCGACTGAGGGGTGATTAATACAGGCAGCAATAAAGTGAAGTGTAGAGAGAGAGCTTTAATAAAGCAACTGAAAATAGCTTGGATGTTTAAGCCTTTAGTTAAGGAGCTGGGAACTCCTGGTGGGGCATCTCTCAGCTTTTTCACTTCAGTTTCTGATGGTCAGTTGCCAGCACACCTTGAAGTGTAGTTGCCAGGTGTATTTTTTACCTGATCTCTGATTTCTAGGTAAATATGCAAAGGGAGTCTTTGGTTATCACGGAATGCTTTGGGGTGGAAGGGCCGTTAAAGCTCTTCCAGCTCCAGCCCCTGCCATTGGGACCCCTTCCACTGGAGCAGCTTGCTCCAAGCCCCTGTGTCCAGCCTGGCCTTGAGCACTGCCAGGGATGGGGCAGCCACAGCTTCTCTGGGCACCCTATACCAGTGTCCCACCACCCTCACAGGGAAGAGCTATTCCAGGCTTCTCCCTGCTTTGCACAAGCTGCTAGCTCTGTGGCTTTGGTTTTGTTTTCTCTAGGTGTTACACCAGACTTTCCCTCAGCATACATTCTTGATGAACGGCCTGATTCATGGAGTCAAGGTAAGGAATATGCCTTCCAGGCTTCCTTCTGAACCTGTGATCAGGGCAAGAAGTAGCAAGCTGTGATAGTCCATGTGGCCTTGCTGATGTCAGCCAGTGTTTGACAGATAATAGAAGCACAGAACACCTGGTTGGAAGGGACCTCACGGATCATCTGGCTCAACCTTTCTAGGCAAAGCATGACCTAGACTAAATGCATGCTCATAGAATCATAATTTAGGTTGGAAAAGACCTTAAGATCATCTAATTCCAGCCCCCTGCCAGTTTGGGGTGCTAATGGCAAATCAAAAGCAAAATGAAGGGTCAATGAAGTGTGGTCCTTGGGTATTTGGTGCAATTGATTTTACTGAGCAGCATTAAGAACCTGCTGCTTGCCAGCCTGGGTTTGGGGCTATGAGAGCTGTGTGTCTCAGCTGCAGATACTGCAGTCAGCATGAGATCAGCCCTGGATCCATGTTCTGGAGTGTAACAACATGAAAAACCAATGACACCTGGACTTAGCAGAAGTAGGAGTTGGAACTTAGCTGCGTCAGTGGGCTCACCCTGACAGAAGGTGGGGAGTGTGCCATGGCATGGGTTTGGACTAGACCAGCATTCCCAGAGCAGAATTGGAGGCAACTCTAATGACCAAGCAGCTGGGAATGTGGCAAACCAGCCTCTTAGACCCTGGCTCTGGCAAGAGGATCTCGGGGAGGTTTGCTTCCATGAGGCCTCAGCACTTCCACACACACACGAAGGCTCTTCCCTGCCTGTCTCCAGTTGGAAAGGCATGGAACAGTTCTCTTTGTGCTTAATGGCCTTGGCACCTCGTCAGGTCTGTCATGTCTCCATCTAAAAGAGAAAGCTTTCCCTGGAACTGCAGCAGATGTTCATGGCATGGAGCTGTGCCAACATCCTTTTAGGTACTGGTGAGCAGCTCCTCGTGCCTGGGGGTGACCACAGCCGCAGGCAGAGCAGCAGCACAGAATGGGAGGGTTTAGCAGCACTGAGCTGCTTGAGGGTAGGTTTTGATCCCTAAAAGGATGTGAGCAGTTTAACAAAGGGTTCTGTGATCGCCTGCTTGTAGGGAATAGGGCTGGATTGTCTCCTCACCCTGTTAGCTTAGCGGTGTCAGAAGCTCTTGCTGTGGACACTCAGAATTTGACTGAGGGATTTCTCTCTGTCACCCTGTCTGTCTTAGGGTCTGCTTTCTTTTCTAAGTGCCCCACTGATTGGTGCTCTCTCTGATGTCTGGGGCAGGAAATCCTTCCTCCTCCTCACTGTCTTCTTCACCTGTGCTCCAATTCCCCTTATGAAGATCAGTCCGTGGTGAGTGTATTCCTGTTGTGACCAAGGGGTTCTGAGGAGAGGAACAAGCACGAGACAGAACAATGGGGGATTTGTGGGTGTAGCATTTGAAGGTGATGGAATTGTCCATCCAGTGGGGAATGATGCTCAGCCTAGAGACTCATTCACTTGCCTGGTTCTACCAGAGGATTCAGTGTTAGGAAGAAGGAGCCTTTCCTGATGCTCATTCTCCTGACGGGTCCATTGTCACTACTCTTGGGCCACCAGACTGCAGCTCAGTGTTTCTGGTGCAGTGAAATAGGAGGGCCTGCAGGAGCTGTGCACCGGGGTGAGGTTGCTCCCTAACTCTTGTGGCACGGCCTCTTTCAGGTGGTATTTTGCTGTCATTTCCATGTCTGGAGTCTTTGCTGTCACCTTCTCTGTGATTTTTGCCTACGTTGCTGATATCACCCAGGAGCATGAACGCAGCACGGCATATGGCTTGGTAAGGAGCTGCACAACTGCCTTGTCTCTTGGAAGCAATACTTGGGCCTTTGCAGGTAGGAGAGATACAAAACGAGGGTGGGAGATTGATTGGCAAGCCTGAGGACAGTATCAGTAAGCAGATGATATGTGCTTCACTATAACACAGTTTCCCTATTGCTCTGTGTGTGATTTAGCACTGAGGGAGAGGGCTTAAAATCACAGAATCAGCTTGGTTGGCAAAGACCTTTAAGCTCAAGTCCAACCATTCCCCAGCACTGCCAAGGCCACCACTAACCCATGGCACTGAGGGCCCCATCTATATGGATTGTGAACACTTGTTTGCTTGTCTCTCTGTGGTGTGAATACTGGCTGTATTCTGTATTGTTGCTGAGCCTTTAAACCAGCTTGGTCAGGAGCTTCTCCAAGCCAGGCTGGGACTGTGCCCCTTCTATAGGGTTCCTGAATTATTAGGACAGCTTTCATTTCCCTTTGTTAGATTGCACCCAGAGAACACGTCACCTTTCTGTCTTTTACATGGATTCTCTCCATCAAAGGTGGCAAAACTCCTGCCCTGGGCTTACACAAGAGGGGCAAACAGGCTCTGGAAAGGAGAAGCTGGATTCCTGTTCTCTGCTTCCAGGTGTCAGCCACGTTTGCTGCCAGTCTGGTCACGAGCCCAGCCATCGGGGCGTACCTCTCCCAGGCCTATGGTGACACGTTGGTGGTCGTGCTGGCTTCAGGTGTGGCATTGCTGGATATCGCCTTCATCCTGCTGGCAGTGCCGGAGTCGCTGCCGGAGGAGATGCGCCCGGTCTCCTGGGGAGCTCCAATCTCTTGGGAACAAGCAGACCCCTTCGCTGTAAGTCATCTTGCTGCTGCTTTTCCACATTAGTCCTTCTCTTTGCTTTAGTTCTGCTAATCTCTCCCAAAAGGAAGAGGCATTCCACAAAAGGGGGAGGATGTGAGGCTCAGATTAACCTTGTTGAAGGTACCGTCTCCAGGTTGCACATCCGTAAAGCTGTCCAGCACCTTCCAACCCTTTTCCTGGAGCTACAAACCATGGAAAAGCAGCTCCAGGTGTCCCGAAGCAAGAGCATCTCTCAGTGGAAACGTACCTCAGTTGTCTGAATATGAGTTCCATTATCCAGCACTAGTACTGCATCAGAAGTCCTTTGTGTTCTATCTTCTCAGGAGCTTTGCTAAGGATGAGGAGCTTTGCAGTGCACCTTTGCTGGCTGAGGAAAAGGCAGTTCTGATCCAAAGCACTTGGCTAAATCTAGGAAACTCAAAGGTCAAGGTCCTCAGTGTAGGGTGCGAGCTGGTGCCGTTGTACATCAGTCCATCAGGCTGACGTGTTGTGGCAGTGTTGGCATCTGCCTCCAGGATGCTGCTTTGGTTTCACTTCTCGGCCGTAAGCTGGTGACTCAAGCACTTGGTTTCGCTGTCTCTGGACCTGGAGAATAGTTCAGGATGTTTACTCTCTTTTTCCTTTTAATTGATGTCATTTACCACTCCTCTTCCCTACAGTCCTTGCGGAAAGTGGGTCAGGATTCTACAGTGCTGCTCATCTGTATCACTGTCTTTCTCTCCTACCTTCCCGAAGCCGGCCAGTATTCCAGCTTTTTCCTCTACCTGCGACAGGTCAGTCTCTTGCCATGATGTGAGGCTCTGAATGCAGGAGATCCCAACATGTGCCCAGGCAGCCAGGAAGCCCCCAGCATCCTAGCCTGGATCAGCACCAGTGCGGCAGCAGAGCCAAGGCAGGGATTGTGCCCCTGTGCTGGGCACTGGTGAGGCTGCATCTTGAATCCTGTGCTCAGCTCTGGGCCCTTCACTCCAAGAGAGACATTGAGGTGCTGGAGCAAGGCCAGAGAAGGGCACCAGAGCTGGTGCAGGGCCTGGAGCCCAAGTGTGATGGGGAATGGCTGAGGGACCTGGGGAGTTCAGTCTGGAGAAAGCTCAGGGGGGACCTGATGGCTCCCTACAAGTGCCTGCCAGGAGGCTGGAGCCAGGAGGGGCTGGGCTCTGCTCCCAAGGAACAAGGGATGGGACAAGAGGAAACGGCCTCAAGCTGCACCAGGGCAGGTTTAGATGGAGCTGAGGAACAATTCCTGCCCCAGAGGGTGCTCAGGCATTGGAACAGGCTGCCCAGGGCAGGGCTGCAGGCACCGTCCCTGCAAGTGTTCACACAGCGTGGGGACGAGGCCTCAGTGCCATGCAGGGGAAAATCTTCCAGGTGATCCCTGTGGCAGCAAGAGGGTGGAGGAAGGGATGGTTCATTGATGCTCAGGTACCTGCTAAGCAGCGTCAGCAAACACTGGTGACACTGGTGGGCTGGCTTTTCCCATAGAGCCCAGATCTCTTGCCTAAACAGTCCCTCTGTGATGTTCTCACAGGTCATTGGGTTTTCCTCAGAGACAGTGGCAGCCTTCATTGGGGTTGTTGGAATTCTCTCCATCCTGGCTCAGGTGAGCACCAGTTTCTCTCTTGGCTCTTGCAGTCTGGTTATAGGAATGTCCAAAATTGCTGACAAGTGGAAGTCCCTTTGGCTGGGCTGTGCCATGGGATGTGCTGGGCTCTGACATGGTGTTACTGGAGTGGAGGAGTCGGTGTCACAGCAGCACGTGTTCCCTCAGATTCCCATCCTCTTGCCTTCCTGTGCTCGCATCCTTCTTTGCACTTCCTGTTAAAGCACCTGTTTTCCTTTCCAGACAGTGGTGTTGGGAATTCTCATGCGTTCCATAGGAAATAAGAACACCATCCTGTTGGGACTAGGCTTCCAGATCCTCCAGCTTGCCTGGTACGGCTTCGGATCGCAGCCTTGGTAAGAATTGGCTCCTGTTTGTCTCGTGGCTCTGTGGCAGCTCCCTGTGCCCTGTCTGGAGGGTGATGCCATGCTGCTGTCTCACATCCTGCCTCCTCACCACTGCCTCTGTCCCCCAGGATGATGTGGGCTGCAGGAGCCGTGGCTGCCATGTCCAGCATCACCTTCCCAGCCATCAGCGCCATGGTGTCTCGGAACGCAGACCCTGACCAACAAGGTGAGTTCATCCCAGCAGGAGCCTGCACCGACTGTGGTGGAGTTGGTGGAGGGATGGACAGGAGCCTGTATTAGCTGTGGAGTGCCTTGTTCTGAGTTGTGTTGATGCTTTGGGAGGGAATGTTCTTTGAGGTAGACAAGGAGCCTGCTGCTTAAGCTTCATGGCTCAGCCCTGAGGCCTCAGGCTTGGCTGCTTTCAATTCCAGTGCTTGATGGACCCAAGCATGTTTTATTCTCCAGCCAAACACTGGATGAGCAAAGCTCATCACCCGCTCACCGCTTCCTCTGTGGGGTCCGTGTCCATCCAGAGCTGGATGTTTGAGCCTTGTCTTTAGATACGGAAGCATCCTCGAGTAGCACAAGCAGCTGCAGGAAGATCTTCCTCTCCCTGCTCTGTCCCCAGGTGTGGTGCAGGGGATGATCACTGGGATTCGGGGTCTGTGTAATGGCCTGGGGCCGGCGCTCTATGGCTTCGTCTTCTATCTCTTCCACGTGGAGCTGAATGAAATGGCTGAGGTGGAAACTCTGGGTAAGGCCTCCAAACCCAACATGGCCAACCCTACGGATGAGGTAACTGTTCAGCTTTGTCTTTCCTTTTCGGCTGCTTTTCCCTTGCGCTTGAGCATTAACCCTTCCTCTGTTTCTTCCTACAGAGCAGCATCATCCCAGGGCCTCCCTTCCTGTTTGGGGCTTGTTCTGTCCTGCTGTCGCTCCTGGTGGCCTTGTTCATTCCAGAACACAACCTTGCACTGAGATCAGGCAGCCACAAGAAGCACAGTAATGGAGCTCAGTCCCACACCCACAGCCCTCAGGCTGGTGGGTCGGATGGCAAAGAGCCCCTGCTCGAGGACAGCAGCGTATGAGGCCAGGAGAGAAGGACCTGGCTCACATCTGGACCCCAGGCCAAGGATGGACTCAGCCAGTGGGAGTTCAGGGAGAGAAAGACAGGGTGGGGGGGGAGAGAAGAAGCGAGGTGAGACTGTGCCACTAACAGCTAATGGGAAGGGATGAGGTTTTCCTTTCCAGCCAAATACACCCTCAGCTGGTGCAGAACCGGAGTTGTATCATCTGGTGCTGATAGGAAGGGGAGATACTGAACTGCTCCATGGGAAGGGATAGTTCCTGAAGGCAAAGCATGTACTTGGGCATTGAACTTCAAGGTGTGCCCTGCCAAATCCTCAACTTGCCAAGGAAAACTGAAGGAGCAAGCATTGGCTTTGTTCTGGTGTGAACAGAAGCAGCTGGTATAAACCAAGGCATCAGCTCCATGCCCCATCCCCTGGTGGAACCAGTCCCATCACAGCTCACCTGGGGGCAGCAGCAACCAGGGCCATGCACCAGGGTGAAGAGCAGATGGTGTGGTCAGGCCTGAGCTGCCCCTCGCTGCTTGGAGCCTGTGAATTCACCCTTGTTGGCCCGGGTGAAACTTAGATTCCCCCCCCCCAAATCTACTGACTTAATGTTCTGATGAAGAGAAGTTGCACAGAGGTGAATGGGAGAGGGAAGGACAACCCTGTGAGTGCTGGGTGCTGAGGAGGTCCATGATGGTTGTGTTCCTCTTTGGCTTTTTCCTGTTACCCTGTCTTGGTAGGAGGATTCTTCAGAGCTGGTTTCTCAGGCACTCTTAAGGGGTGATCAGAAAATAGCCTCTCTGAGGGGCTGGAGAAGCAACTCAACCCCATGAAGCACTTGCTAAATCTTTGAGGGAAAGGCCAAAGAAGGAGCTGTTCACGTGGGGTTTTCCCCTCAGGCTCTTGCCATCCAATATTAAACCCAAATACCAACTGCAGCTCTTGTTCTTTCTCAGTCCAGAAGCTCCTGATGGTGATGGTTTGCAGTTGATTTGAACTTGGAGGCTGGGATTCCATGGAGTGTTTTTGAGCCTGCCATGAAGGTGTTTGGTTGGTTGACAAATGGAATTGGAACCTCTGCTTCGGAAGAACAGCAGGTCCTGGAGTTGGAGCAGCCCTGTCTTGGAGCAGGAGCTGTGTGAGAGCTGTTGTCTGGCTGGGATCCCTCCGTGGGGCTGGGACAGGTCTCCCAGGGGAAGAAGGCCAGGAGGGAGGGAGCATTGGCTCCATGTCCTGGCTCTTTGCAGACGGGTGACAATGACTGTGCCGGGCCTCTGCAGCAGTGGGTTTCATGGAAGACCCAATGGAATGACCATGGAGAACCAGGTCCTGCTGGTACAAGCCTGGGAGAGCACTGCCTGTCCCCTGCTCCAGGGTACATCTGGGATCCCACCTCTCCTGCACGCTTGGTGGTGCTGGCGTTGGGTAGATCAAGAGCTGCATTTCCATGTAGATGGAATTGAATCCCTGTCAGATAGGAACAGCTTGGAGCCGCTGCCTGCACTGGGCTGGGCTCATGCTCCACTCCGTTTCCTGATTTTCTGGACCAGTTCTTCATTGGAAGTGGACAGTGAAGTGGAGGAATCATCAGCTGCTTTTGCATTAACCCTGCCCGGGCCCTGCAGTCGGAGCCAGGCCCTGGGAGCAGGGGGCAGCAGAGCAGGGACGGAGAGGGGAGGCAGCAGAAAGCCTCAGTGACCTGCAGTGATTCGGGTTTCCCCAAGCTCCTGGTGGTGATGTCCGTGCTGCGTGCGCACAGCGAGCTGCTTTCCTGAAGGAAATGAGTCCCTGACCCATTCAACTCCACGTTCCCTTCTCGGAGCAGAGCTTCCCCAAGCACATCCGCTGTTGATTCCCACTCTTCTCAAATGAAGTTGGTTTTTTCCCCTCACACCCAAATGAAGTTGAACCAAGGAACCGTTACCTCCTCGTGCACTCCGAGGCACCGGGAGCTCCAGGGGTAGGATGGAACCATAGGATATAATGGAAAATTATGGCAAGAACATAATTTATATGATCTAAAGTATAGAGAGATATATTTTTAAAAGTCCTTTCTTGTGTAGTTTATTGAAACAAATCCTGTTCCCTCCCAGCACCGCTGCTGCCTCCGGCCTCTCCTCCCCTCCAGCCAACAGGACCAGCCGGGTGAGCTTCCCTGCTCCATCCCCATCCATCCCACTGCCACATCCGACTTCCCAGCGATGCCAACATCCCCCAGCTCCTGCACAGTGGATCTGGGGAGCTTTGGTCACTTCATCACCTCGAGCTCGGGGCCTGGAGATGCCGCAGGTCGCTGATGCAGTGGGGGCTGCATGGAAGGTCCCACCGTGGTGGAGCAGGTACATAAGGGCGCTGTGAGCACCATCAGGGTGGTTTGGACCTTGGCTCTGATGGCACAGGGGACATGAGAGGGCCCCAAGCCCGGTGCCTGCAGAGCCAGGGCTCCCTGTGGCCCTTGTTCTTGGCGCTGGGAGCAGGCAGGGATCCCTTCCCATGGATTTGGAGTTCCTTTCCCCTGGTTCCACACGGACCCAGCCACTGTTCTGCCTTCAAGGGACACGGGAGGCCTCAGGCCAAGAGGTGATGGAGCTGAGATTCCAGGACCTGAATGACGAATGTCTCATTCCGAAGGGCCGGGAATTCTGCAGCGTCCCACTGGAAAGCTGGGAAGATCCAGGGAGCATTCAGCTAGTTTTGCCAAGTTTTTTGTTACTTTCTATGGAAAAAAAAAAACCAAACCCAAACCCAACTTTTTTAAAAGAGCCTTTTCTTCCCCCCCTCCCCCCCCTCCTTTCCATGTGCTGGGAAGTGCCTGAGCCTGGCTGCTCCACAGCAGCATTCCCAGGAGCTGTCTGCAGCGACTTCATGTTGAGGTCGGGGCCAACACCACCCCGAAAGTAAGGCAAGGATTGGCTTCATTTGCCCTTCAGTGAGTCCGAACTGATCTTAGTGCACTAACCCCCCCCCCTTCAAACCTTTGCTTTCTCTTTTACCATTGATTTAGCAAACCAGTCCCTTCTCCCTTCCCCAGTTTGGGTTCTTTTCTCTGTACTGGAATGGCTGCTGCCACCTTTAGCACCTTGAAAGAGCGTTGGGCATGGGGGGAGCCCGTGCTCCGAGCTGCCCCTTGCGAGCGTTTCTGGGTCTCTCTTGTGAAGCTAACAGGGAGCTGTGTTTCTTTCTGTTCAGGTTGGGTTTAGAGCTGGCTAATCTCTCCCTCCTCCAGTGGATTATTTATTAAACTGCTGCTTTCCTGTTGTGTTGAAGCTCTTCTGTCCTCGTCCTTCTCCCTCGGGTCCCAAGATGCCTTCAGAGTTGGTGCTTCAGGCCTCCTCCATCTGCCTCTTATGGGTACAGAGTGAGTTCTTTCCACCTATTCCTTCAAACAGAGCTAAAAGGACCTTGGAGCCAATTCACATTCCCCCTTGATCCTACCATAGCTTTCCAGGCTTCCACTGGAGCATTACAAGAGCCCAAGTTAGGTCCCTGGCTCCCACCTCCCCGGGGCTGGATTTGTGCCTCTTCATTTCAAGTCAGGCTTCATTTAGATCTTATCTTAGCCACTTAAACACTTCTTGTGGTGGTTGAGGGTGGTACTGAGTGAGCAATACAATCACAAGTGTCAACACATCCACATCTACTCTTGGATGGGAGCTGTGTCTGACAGCCCATATCCCGTAAGGAGCTGGAAACACAAACGCCATCCCACAAGATAGAGCCTTTTGTCTTGATTTCCTCCGGATTTGAGCTCATTATTGTATTTATTTCATCTTGACTTGAGAAAGATTCCTCAGCTTAATCCCACTTCACATCACTGGAGGGAAAAGAGAAGGGATTGCAGCAGCAGATGGGGATGCTGCAGAGCCTGGCTTTGGGACCAGCCTTCCCAGGGGAAGATTCCCGAGTTTTGCACCATGTGGAAAAAACTTCACCTCCTTCCAGATGGCTCCAGCCCTGTCATTTCTGGTGTGGGGGCATTAGCAGTGCTGGTGATGACAGCCCAGGGCTCCACCCCAGCCTGAGGGGCTTGGCTGGGGCATCCTGTGCTTGTCCCATCTCTCCCCGTTGAGCTGTTCTCCTTCCTGAGGAGCGCCTCTGGAGCGAGCTCTGCCCCGCTCCTGCCCTCAGGAGGAAGCACCATCGGCTTCCAGGAAAAACCTTCCCCTTTCTGCTTCTTGAAAGCCAGCATCCCCTTTGCTCTGACCTCAAAGGTTTCCTGTTGGGTGGAAAAGCATCCCGGTGCCTGAGGATGCTCTTTCCACCCTGGCGCTGCAGCCTGATGGTCCCTCTGTGCTGGGATCAGCTCCAGGCACACACATCCTCAAGTGCTCTGCAAGCCCCGAGCCACAGGAAGGGCATCAGGAGGTACTGGGCTCTCTGGTGGTTATTGATGTCCTGGGGACTGGTCCAGGAAAGCTTCAAGGCTGCTCCGACTGGGATGCTGCAGGGCCATAGCGGGCGGTACCCAGAGGCTTGGGGTGCTCCTGCAGCAGCGAGCGTGGTCCTTGAGGGTGGTGGTTCCCCTCTTTAAGCTTTTCCTTTGGGAAGGAACTCGGTGCTTGGTGCTTGTCCCATCGCCCACCGGTGGCAACGGGAGCAGAGGAGGAGGTGACACGGGGACAGGAGCAGCCTTGGGGACGCTGGGAAGCGGCTCTGGTAACACAGGGTGGCAGGACCAAACCCCCCCCCCAGAGCCATCAATCACCGGCTTCAGCTGAGCGTGCAGATCCGATGGCAGCTGCTTACAGAGCACTTCCCTTGCTCCCAGGCTTCCCAAAAGGATGCACGACGCACCCAGTGCCCGGATCTGCCTCTCCAGAGTTCCCGCATGGGAAAGGGACGGGTCCTCCTGTGCCCAATTCCCACCTTCTGCGCCAGGAGGCGCAGGGCTGGGAATGTCAATGTCTTCTCCTTCAGCACCTTCCCGGCAGGATGGGATGGGGCAGAACCAGGTCCATCTCTTCTCATTTGCTGGGTAGGAGCGAGGAGAGGATGAGGCAGGGCCTTGGGGCTACATAACATGGGGTGATCAACATCATCATGTGGGGGCATGTTCTCCATCTATCCCATAAAACCACCCTGCAAACACCCTGGCCTGGCAGCACACGCTGCTTGCAGCCCCCGAGCCTGGGGCTGGTCACCTCCTTTCCAAACCCCACATCTTTGGGCTCATTGGGTTTATCCCTCAGGCTGCCCCATCCCAAGGCCGTGGTTCCCATGGGGGTCCCAGTGGGATGTGCTCTGGGACAGCCCCACTTGGTGATGCTGAACACGGGCCCTGGGCCCCGCTCATAGAGCGATGTCCCCCCTGCCGCAGCCCTTGTGTTGAGCAAGAGCTGGACTTGGAAGGAAATCACATCCCTCCCTCTGGAAATACCCCTTGGGCTGGAAAGCTGTGGAGGTCCCCGGGGCGGGGGAGGCGGTTCCTAAGGCTTAAGAAGGGCTGAGGACGGAGCTGGCAGCCAGAAGGAGACAGCCCCGACCAGGAGCATTCACTCACTGGAAGGAGGGAAGGAAGGAAGGAAAAGCAGCCCTTGCTGCGGGTGATGGAGCCGGCTCCGCTCCTCCTCCTCCTCAGCTTGCTGTGGGGCTGCAGAGGTGAGTGCTGGGGGACCAGGAGCATCCTGATCCCTTAACCCCCCCCTTCCCTGCAGCTCTCTGCTCTGCCACATGGTCCCGTGATGGGGTCTCCCCATCACTGAGGTGCCAGAGCAGCAGCAGAGCTGGTGAGGGATGAGAGCTCAGGGAAAGGAGTGTTTGGGATAGGTAAATCCCGATGGTGAAGGCAGGGGGATCAAGGACGGCAGCGCTTTCACCTCAGCACTGATCCCTATAGCGATGGGGACAAAGCTTATGCTGCACCTGAGTGTGACCATCCACATCTCAGCAAGCCAAGGAACCAGGATCCCGCTGGCCTTGTCACATCATCCCCATCCCTAATCCAGTGTTTTCCCTCTTCCCTGGCCCAGGACAAGCCATGGGCAGGCTGGTGGTGACACCACAGGAGCCGGTGGTGCTGTACGGGGGCTCGGTGCGGCTGAACTGCTCCCTGCATGCCTGCGCCGAGGGCACGGTGCAGTGGAAGGGGCTGGACACCAACCTGGGGAGCGTCACCTCCTTTTCCACTCACAGCATCCTGCACGTCAGCAGCGCCGTGGTTGCCATGGGGGGCACCAAGATCTGCCAGGGGGTTTGCCACGGGCAGTACTACCAGCGCACCGTCAACCTGAGGGTCTATGGTGAGCGTTCCCCGGCACATCCATCACCCACATCCCGGAGCCTGCGGTGCCACAGGTCATGACTTGACCCTGGAATTCCATTCCCAGCACTGCCGGAGGGGCTGCAGCTGGAGGCCGCCCCCCGAGCCCCGGTGCCGGGGCAGCCGCTCAGCCTGCGCTGCTCAGCCCATGGCGTGTACCCGCACAAGGGGCTGCTCCTCACCTGGTACCGAGGGTACCAGGCGCTGCCGGCGGCAGATCTCGATGTCACCGAGACCGAGGAGGAGCTGTTTGACATCGTGGCCACGCTGGCGGTGGATGGGAAGGAGGTGGAGGAAGGGACGGAGTTCAGGTGCGAGGTGATGCTGAGAGTCGGGCAGGAGACCTTCAGCAGGGTGGCATCGGTGATGGTGAGCGCCGGGGGTAAGTGATGGGGACCTGGGTCCAGGGGCTGCCCCGTCACTCCCATCACCCTGTGCTGCTTGGCTGGAACAGGAGCAGTCCCTGTTCCTGCCCCGCTCCGCAGATATCACATTCTCTCCCAGCCCAGGGCTGTATCTATGGGGTGGAGGAGGATGGAGCTGGTGGGTGGTGGGGATGATGTGTCCCAGCTCGGAGCTGCAGCGAGGCCCGTGTCCCGCTCTGTTCACAGCCACGCTGGTGGCCACGGGGACCCCCTGGCCAGCACCAGCTCTGACACGGAGCCCCAGCGCAGCCGCGGCCACCACAGCGCTGCCCGCAGAGCCGAGCAGCGGTCCCACCGCATCGCAGGAGCCCGATGCTGCCACCGAGCATCCTCCTCCCGGAGCCACCACCACAGGCAGGGAGCATCCGGTCACCCCAGTCCCGCTGCCCGGCCCCGGCACCACCGAGGTGCAGCGGCTGGATCCAGCCACGGGCACGGTGCCCGCCTGCAGCCTGCGGCTCTGGTCCCTGCCTCCCAACGGGACGAGGGGCAGGGAGCTGCGCATCGAGTGCCGGGCTCGGTGTCCCGGTAACGCCACCGTGCGCTGGCTGCGGACCCCGGTGGCTCTCTCGCAGTACCGGCAGGAGGCGGAGGGCAGCAGCTCCATACTGCGGCTGGACCGCGCAGAGCCCCGGCACCAGGGCCACTACCAGTGCGTCCTGCTCGGACACCGCTCCCATGCGGCCAGTCTGCACCTCGCGGTGCTGGACGGTACGTGGTGCTCTGCAGGCACCTCCTGCGCGCCCCATCGAGCGCGTCTGGGCTGCAGCGCCTTGTGTTAAGTGCCGCGTTCGGGTCTGTTGGCACCTAGAGCCCCTTTTGGTGTCTTCACAGACGCGTCCAGCACGGCCCCTGCCGTCGCTGCGGGGACAACGGTGTCGCTGTTGGGACTGATCGTAGCCGGTGCTGGGGCTCATCGCCTGTGGAAGCGATTCCACTCTCAGTACGAGCTGCCTTAGGAGCAGGAGCCCTGCAGGCACCCGCAGCCGGACCCATCCCTGCTGTCACCCGGCTGCGCCGCTCGCAGCGGTGGCCGCGGAGCTGGTGGGATGCGGGATGCTGTTGCCGGGACCCTCCGAGCTGCTCCCGAAGGCTCCATCCCTGACCGCCGCTGCCGGGAAGCTCCGCTCGGGGGAGCTCGGCCCGAGTCCTGCGGGAGAGGAGACCCCCGACGGCACCACGGAAGGAGAGGAAGGATGGAGACGTCCGCAGTGATGGAGGACGGGGATGCTCCGGGGCTGCATCACTCTGGGGGTGGGTTCAGCTCCTGGGGGCACACACGAGAGTGGGAGGAGGGCGACAGAGATCGCCTATCGCGACAGGAGGGTCAGGAGCAGTCCCGCTGGGGGGTGCTGTAATAAAGGGTTGTGTGCACCCGGAACCGGCGTCCGCAGCGCGCCCGGTTGCTAAGGGCGGGAGGAGCCATGGCTGCCGGGGGAGCGGTTTCTTTGCCCACACCCAAGATGGCGCCCAGCCGCCTCGCCCAATGGCGCCTCGCTCGTCTGCTTTCCCAGCCCTCCGATTGGCTGCCAGTAAGCAAGATGGCGGTGCAGGACGTTCCCTCTCGGGGCGGAACCGGCCTTCGCTGCCCGCAGCCAAGATGGCGGCGTACGAGAAGCGGCGGCCGGGCACGGCCCCGAGCGGCGGACAGGCTGCGGGCAGCGAGGCGGAGTTCCTGCTGCGGGCCGGGGTCACCGCCATGGTGCGGGAGGCGCTGCTGAAGGTGCTGGAGGCGCGGCCGGAGGAGCCCGTCTCCTTCCTGGCCGACTACTTCGAGCGCCTGGTGCTGGCCAGCCCCGAGCCCGCGGGGCCGGCGCAGCGCTTGGCGCAGGCGCTGTGGTACGTCAGCCTGGCTCACCACTCCCATAGGTGAGGCGGGCGCGCGGGGCACGCTGGGAGTTGTAGTTCGGGGGGGGGGGCGGAGGCGTGAGGCCCTTGTCTTTGTGTGTGTTATGTCGCGACAGGACGGCCTTCGACAGCAACACCGGCGCGGCCTACGAGGTGCTGGGAGGCGGCGGGCGACGGCGGGCGGCGGCGGGCGTGGACGGGCGGCTTTACAGCGAGCTGCTGCGGAGCATCTGCCAGCACGGGGAGGCACCGGCAGAGGCGGCCGCGGCGCTGCTGCGGCGGGTGCGGTGTCGCGACCACGAGGCCGTCCCCTTCGATGTGTTCCGCTATGGGGTCCTCACCTGCTTCGTGCTCCTGGAGTTCGCTTCCAAGGCGGACGCGCTCTTCGCTGTCCTGGACGGTGGTTCCGGGGCTGCCGATGCCCGGCTGTGCCAAGCGGTGCTGCGGGCGCTGGAGGAGGCGCTGGGTTCCGAGCACTTCACGCAGCCCAGGCGGTACCTAGAGGCTGGTTCCCGGTTGGGACCGGACGGGCTGGCCCTGGCCATGGACCGGGCGCTGCAGGAGAGGAAGCTCAGCGGCTCCATGAGCAGGGAGGAGTTCCTGAAGAAAGCCACCGCCTTGTTCGTTGCTAAAGTGAAGCCCGTTGAGTAACAGCCGCTGAGTGCTCCGGACCCCGGTGCTGGGCTGGACAGTGAGCATGGACGGGAGGTTCCCACTTTCCATGCTCCCATCCTTGTTCTAAGTGCAATGGGCGCCTGGCCCCCTCCAGTGCCGGATGCATCCCGATCCGCTGTGCCTCTCTTGGTCGATGGCATTTCCAATCCAGCTTCATTTGTAGATCTTCTTAGGTGTTAAGTGGGGGCTCACGAGAAGCCTGTGAGCCACAGGGCACAGTAGCCAGAATTGGGGCTGCACCTTGGCACACGCCATGGGCTCGTCCTCACCCCTTTGCAGCTTCAGTGGGGACCTTTGGGGTTTGTTTCACACCCAGCAGTGAAGGCGGTGACACTTCTCGACCTCACAGACCCCTCAGAGGGTTCACGGGACACAAAGTGTGAGATCAGGCATTATTTTAGTAAGGAAAGAGGTTTAAATGCACAGCAGGGGAGGGACGAAGCTCAGCCCTGAGCTGGAGGGAGCTTAGCTGCCAGTGAGGCAATGAGAGAGCCCAGTGTTGGAGCTGGGTTGTGAAGATCAAAGCTCATTCTTGAGTGCTGTGACGGTGATGCTGCTGATGTGGGACGTGGGTCAGGCCAAGACCACCCCCTGCCCTCAGGTCACGGATTGCTTTTGATCAGAGGTGCGTGTTGAACCACGGGTTATTTATTTGAACTTGTCTGTGTTATTTATACCGTGCAATTCTTGGTTTACTCTAAGACATTAAAGCTTTCAATTGGTGGTGGTGGGGATTAAATGGCCAGTTTCTCTGCGCCGAGCACCAGGATGAGCGGGAGCAGCCTCACATCCCAGTGGAAGGCCCTGTTTCCGGGGATTGATGCTGCAACCTCAGTCACAGCCCGCCCGGCTGATGGCGTGGGAGCAAAAAGCCCTTGTAGCTACTACGGGAATACCCCCGAGGAGCTTTGGGGGTGCCCGTTGTGCCGAGCGGGTGTTTCCATCCCCACAGGCACTCGATGGAGCAGGTCCGGGTGAGGCTGCAGGTGCCAGGATGGAACACGAGGGGAGAGGGGGAACCGGCGGTGCTGGGGGTACCGGGGGGGGGGGGGGGTCCATGGGAGGGCGGGGAACGCCGGTTCTGCTGCTGCGGGGGGAGGGCCGCAAGCACCGACGGAGCCGCCGCCGCCCCGGCGGTCGGAGACCGGGACCGGCCACGCCGCCAGGGTCCTAGCCCCGCCCCTCTGCCCAGCAGCGCGCTGTGATTGGCTCACATCGCACGGGAGAGGGGCGGAGCCAACTCCCTGCCACGCCCCTTTGGTTGGCTTACTTCGCCAAAGGGGTGGAGACTGATCCATGCCACGCCCCTCTGTCCTCCAACGCGCTGTGATTGGCTAGAGGCAGCCCCGCCCCTTGCGGGAGGACTACAGCTCCCGCCGTGCCCCGCGCTCGGAGCGGCCGCGGCGCAGCCGGATCCGCCGCCGCCTCTCCGCGTCCTCGCAGCGGCCGTTGCGCCTACGGCAGCTCCCGGCTTCGCTCGCGGCCTACCCCAGCTTCTCGGCATGGCTCGGCCTCTCGTGCCCAGCTCTCAGAAGGCGCTGCTGCTGGAGCTGAAAGGGCTGCAGGAGGAGCCCGTGGAAGGGTTCCGGGTCAACCTGGTTGACGAGGGGGATCTCTACAACTGGGAGGTGGCCATCTTCGGCCCCCCAAACACCTACTATGAGGGCGGGTACTTCAAGGTGAGGGGCTCCGGGGGGGGGGGGGAACCGGGGTCTCAAGGAGGTGAAGCTTTGGTGTCGTGGTGAGGGGGTGGAACCTGTGAGGCCGAGTTGTGCGGTGGGAGATGGGGTTTAGAGGGGCAGAAGCAGAGCTGGGGTAGCGGGAGATGCTCGGGGGGGAAGCACAGGTTAGGAAGGGGTTTGGGAGGCAGAGAGACCACGGGAGAGTGGGGGCTGTGGGGTGAAAGAGACTTCGGGGGGGTGACAGGGCCCTCCTGGGCTTAAAGGGGTGATGAGGGCGCAGGCAATGGGGGTCTGTAGCTGCGCACCTTGGGGTCAGTGGGGCTTTAGGAGCTGGGGTGAAGGAGGGGGCCCCAAGTAGGCAGGGATACCCCCACTGTGAGGTGGGGTTCCCCCCGGGGGCTCTGCCCCTGAGGGCTTCCTGTCCCTTCCTTGCCTTGGTGTTGAGCTCTGGGCCATGGGGGACGGATCGGGGCATCCCCACCAAACCAAAGGGAGCAGCCAAAGGGAAAGGTGTGTGTGTGTGTCCCGAACAGGCCCGGATGGGATGGCCCAGATGTGGTGAGCAGCAGCTGGCGCTGGGTGGGGAGCGGGTGCTGTGGCTCAGTTTGGGGTTCAAAGGGGGGGGAGCAGGATGTGGATGTGCTCATCTCAGGGGTTGTGCAACCTGCGTAGCTGTTTTCTTCCTCTTTCTCATCCTCCCTCCTCCGCTACCAGCTCCTGAGGCTCCATCCTGTTGCTGGCAGGGCTGAGTCAGCCCCGGACGGGGTCAGCTCTGCCTCGGGAGCCGCCTGCTTTGTTTTTGCCTTCAGAACCAGGTTTTAGCCCTTTCCTGATGGAACGGAGCCGTTTCCCACTCCTCTTTTGGCACTCGGCCCTTTGAGCTCTCGCCCTTCCAGTGCCCCAGAGCTTCCCGACCTGGCACTCTTGGGTGGCACTGGATGGAGCTTCCTGCTTCAGAGGAGAGCAAAGGGGCTGAGTCCTCTTCCAGCCGCTGGGAACATCACCCTGTTTGTGTATAGCAACTCAGGGGGGTCTTTCCAAGCCCCTATGGGGTTGCTTTACCTCAGGCTGGTTTTGTTCTGCTCCCTCTAACACAAAAAAGGGGGGGATGATGCTATGGAGTTCAGTGGTGCTGTGGGTGCTCTGCCCCGAGCTCCACACGCAAACACACAACACATCCAGTGCTGTGGTTCTCCTCCCTTGCACCCCTTGGCCTGTGCCACGGAGCAGGGACAGAGCTGCCATCAGGGCCTTTTTGGGCTCTGGATGTGATCAGCTTGTGCCAGGGCTGGAAGCGGGATCCAGGATGGACTCCTCGGTCAGGGCAGCGAGGAGGAGGAGGGTGGATTCTCTGTCCTCTACACTGATCTTTTCATGGCTGTTGGCTGGCACCCAGCTTTGGCAGCATCGCCTATTGTTGAGGCCATGATTCCAGAAGCATCCAAAGCCTCTTTTGCAGTTCCTATCCCAAACAGGTAACGAACAATCCCGGGTCACCATCACTCGCTGCTGCGCAGAGCAGGGCTGCTTTCAACTGTTGCTTCCCCGCTCCAATGTGTGGATCCTCCTATACACAAGGAGATGCTCAAGGAGTTCTTTGGTGCTCCCTGTTTGCCCCTGGCTCCTGAATCTCAACGTTGCCTTCCAAAAGCACCCGAAAGAGCCCCCTGTGGCTTGTGCAGGACATGGGGAGCGGTTGCTCCTGGTCCATGGGGGCTGTTGCTCTGTGTCTCTGGACCACCTCAGGTTGTCTCTGTGGGTGCTGGAGCCGTGCTCTGCAGCATGATCCTCATGTGCTGTTATTTTTAGCACCTGAGTTACGTGCTGTGCCCGGTCTGCACTCGGCCTCTCTCTTCTTTCAGGCTATTTTTAGAGCCTCGGGGTGCTGGCAGAGTGCTGAGCACCTGATGCTTCCTTCCCTGGGAGCTCCATAGTGGGGGAAACAGCGCAGGGAAGCTGTGGCTGCCCCATCCCTGGCAGTGTTCAAGGCCAGGTTGGACACAGGGGCTTGGAGCAAGCTGCTCCAGTGGAAGGGGTTGGGACTGGAGGAGCTTTAAGGTCCCTTCTCAACCAACCCATTCCCTGACAGCAGGATGGGGATCCCTCATCCTGCAGGAGCACAGCAGGACTTGGCAAAGGTTCCTTTCTCTGTGGTTTCCTTCCCTCCCTCCTCACTTCTCCTTATTGTTTCCTTGCAGGCTCGCCTCCGGTTTCCCATCGACTACCCCTATTCTCCTCCTGCCTTTAGGTTCTTAACCAAAATGTGGCACCCCAATATCTATGAGGTAGGTCCCTGGGACAGTGCAGAGCCTGTTAGATGGGTGTAAGGTGGGGGGGGGCACATGCCCATGGTATTGTGGATGACAACACCAGCCTTTGGCATTGGAACTCGGTGCCTTTGGCACTGGAAAGGCAGTTAATGAGCTGACGCCAGCCGCTCTCCTGTCCTGCTTCCAGGTCAGCCAGGCTTGAAGGCTGTGAGGACACTGAGTACGTGGCCCTGGGGCCTCACTGGGGCTGTGGGGGGCTTAGCCAAAGCCTGAGGTAGTGGGACCACCTCTTGTGCTGCCCCATCCCTGGCAGTGCTCAAGGCCAGGTTGGACACAGGGGCTTGGAGCAAGCTGCTCTAGTGGAAGGGGTCCCAATGGCAGGGGTTGGAGCTGGAGGAGCTTTAAGGTCCCTTCCAACCCAACCCAACCCATTCTCTGGTCCTGTTCCATTGTGCTTTCAGACCGGTGACGTCTGTATCTCCATCCTGCACCCACCGGTGGACGACCCACAGAGCGGGGAGCTGCCGTCGGAGCGGTGGAACCCCACACAGAACGTGAGGTAAAGGCTGAGCCTCATCCCAGGGTTGGGAATGTGGGGCCATGGGGGCTACTTCTGCTCCCAGAGCCTGCAGGAGGTGCGTTGGGGTCATTGAAAGGCACTTGGGATGTGTGATGCACTGAAGAACAGTGAGAGCTTGAGCCTGGCAGCCTGGGCTTGGCTTCTCTGGGATGCTCTGCCCTGCTCCATGGGGCTTGGAGGCTGCTGGAATGACTGCCTTGGCTCTTACCTGCTCTTATCGATGGCCAGGACCATTCTGCTGAGCGTGATCTCGCTGCTGAATGAACCCAACACGTTCTCTCCAGCCAACGTGGACGCCTCCGTGATGTACCGCAAGTGGAAGGAGAGCAAAGGGAAGGACCGGGAGTACACGGACATCATCAGGTGAGTGATGGGCTGAGCGAGGCCTGGCAGTGCTGTGGCACCAGGAAACGCTTGAGCAGGACACAGGATCCTAAGGGAACAGCCTGGAGAAGGCTCTGGGGAGAATTTAGAGCAGCTCCAGTGCCTGAAGGGGCCACAGAAAACCTGGAGAGGGGTTTGGGACAAGGGCCTGTAGGGACAGGCCAAGGGGGATGGCTTGAACCCGCCCAAGGGGAGACTGAGATGAGCTCTTAGGCAGAAGCTCTTCCCTGTGAGGGTGCTGAGGCACTGTCCCAAGGTGCCCAGAGAAGCTGTGGCTGCCCCATCCCTGGCAGTGCTCAAGGCCAGGTTGGACACAGGGGCTTGGAGGAAGCTGCTCCAGTGGAAGGGGTCCCTGCCCGTGGCAGGGGTTGGAGCTGGAGGAGCTTTAAGGTCCCTTCCAACCCAGACCATCCTTTGGTGCTACAATTCTGACCTCCCCTCTTGAGTCCCGTCTGCGTGCTGGTAGGAGGGAAGGATTCTGGCTCAGAGCGGGGCTTTTAAAGAGGAGCTTGTTAGGTTCTGTGCTCAGCTTTGCTCTCGGGCTAAGTCCTGCTCCTTTTTGGCTCCAGAGCTGAGGATCTGGGCTCAGAGCAGCCACGGTGCCAGCGTGGCTTTGGCAGCATGGGCCTGGCACACAAGGTGCTGCAGGCTGGGCAGCCTTGACATGGTGCCACACGCAGGGCTCCGTCCTTACCTCCTGCTTCTCACCTCCAGGAAGCAAGTCTTGGGCACAAAGGTGGATGCTGAGCGGGATGGTGTGAAGGTCCCCACCACGCTGGCTGAGTACTGCGTGAAGACCAAGACTCCAGCGCCTGATGAGGGCTCTGACCTCTTCTATGATGACTATTACGAGGATGATGAGATGGAGGAAGAGGCAGAGAGCTGTTACGGGGATGAGGATGACTCTGGCAATGAGGAATCTTGATGGGCCCTCTGGCATTGCAACCCTTCCTATAAACTACTGCGTTTTACCTCAACTTAGGACAAACGGGTTTGAATTTAGGCTCTGTCAGCCCTGGAATTGACTCTCTACCTCACAGGGAGACTGTTCTGCTGCGGCCAAGGAGCTCCCAGTGCTGGCTTGGTAGAAAAAGCAAGGAACAAACCCTATTTTATAAATGTGCTTGGTTAGGGGGTGGATGGGGAAGGGGGAAGCGGCTTTGGGGCCTTCCTGAAGCCACAGGACTGGTTTGGGGCGTGATGGCAAAACCTGCTGTTGCCTGCCTGCTGTTTGGGGCACATTGGGCTCTTCAGCCCCACGTAGGAGGAAGGGTTGGGGGGGGGGGGGTGCTGTGGGGCCGGTGAGTGGTGGCTTTGTGCAGCCTTTGAGGGGTTGGAGCATGGTTGGATCCCGGAGGGACCCTCCTGGTGCCAGAGTGCAGTGGGAATGACGGGAAGCTCAGGAATGGCCGGGACACGGAGCACTGCAGGGTGTGAGTGGTTTTTAACCTGCTGGGAGGGATGGGGCAGTTCTGGCTCTTTCTGCTTCTGTTTTTTTTTTGGAGACTATTTAATAAAGTATTCCTAGGGACTGGGGTCCCTTCCCTGCCTCCCCAACCCCACAGGGCTGCCTGGGGAAGCATCTCTTGCCCTTCTTAGCAGTGTTGTGCCTCTGCCCTGGGGCTGTGGGCTCTGCTGAGCCGCCCCCAACCCTGAGCACTCCATAGGGAAGGTGTTTTCCCTCCTGCACTGATGGGTGCCCAAGCCAGACTTGGGATGGGTGAGCTCCAGCCACCACCTTCCAGCCGCGGGGCACCTAAGGGCGTTCCATAGGGATGGACACCTGGAAACCTCCCCTCCTGGGGCTCTTTGAGGCTCCTTGGATGGGGTAATGATGGAAACTCGCCCCTTCCTGGAGCCGTGTCAATGGGAGCTGGGAACCGCACGTGGCCCATGCATGTGCTTTGTTGCCTTAGGGAACGGGGCTGGAAGGTGAAGGGGATTATTGGCCTTCGAGTGCGGGCTTCCAAGGTCAGCGGGGCTGGCACGGAGCAGCGGCCAAAGCCGCCTCCTCCTCCTCCATGGGCGCTGTGTCCATGGAGCCCCTGCCCCTCGCACTTGTGCCGCAGGGCGATGGAAGGAGGGGGGGCAAGGCCGGACATGGCCCCCGGTGGGAGGGAGCGCTCCAGGGGGGTTCCGGAGCTCACAAGAGCCGGGAGGTCCCCGCGGGGAGCGCGGCGGGGGCTGGCGCCGAGGCCGGCCCCATTGTTTGGGGCTTTCCTGCCTTGGCTGCGAGCTCCCCGCGGGCTCCCAGCGCCGGCTCCTGGGAACAACCGGGGCCGGAGGCGCTGCCCCGCTCCGTTTACCGGAGCGCCCCCCCCCGCCATTCCGGTTCCTCGCACGCTGCCGCCGCTTGGCCCCCACCGCCCACCGTCCGTCCCCCCCGCCGCGCCTCCCCATTGGCTACGCTGCCCCCTGGTGGGCGTGGCCACGCGCGGACTGGCTTGAGGAGGAGAGCGCTTTTACCAGATCTTTCCTCTGATTGGCCTCTCCGCGCCGGGTGGGCGGGGCTGCTGGCCGAGTTGACTTTCGATTGGCTGCCGGGCCCGCCCAAAGGCCCGCCCCTTCCTCCGTGACCCGGCGCGGGGCTTATAGCGGGCGGCGGGCGGCGCGGAGCGGGCGGGCAGTGATGGCGGCGGCGGCAGCGGGAACATGCGGCCTCCGGGCTCTGCTCCTCCTCTTCCTCCTGGCCGCGCTGGCCACCGGCGTCGCGGGGACAAGTACGGGCCGGGACCGGGGGGGTGGTGTTGCGGCGGGGGGGGGGGGGCGGAGCGGCGGCGGAGGAGCCCTGCGGGCCGGCACGTCGCACGGCGGGCGGGGCTGAGGCGGCGGCACCGGCCCCCCCCCGGGCTCGGTGTCCTCTTTGCCTCCGCTATCGGAGGTCTCCAGACTCCGGTGGGGCCGGTTCCGTGCGGGCGGCCCGGGTCGCGCAATGCGCAAGGGTTGGGTCCCCTGAGCGGAAGGGCGATGGAGGCAGCCCCGGTGCTTTCCCGGAGGGAAAAGGGGGGGGATTTCCTCCTCGCAGCCGTTTCTCCCGTTTCCGGGGCTTACGGAGCGGTAGCGGCTTTCCGGGCCCTAAAGCCCTAACGCTGGCCCCGTGGTCCGTAAGTCGCTAATCCCCGCGGGGCCCGCTGTGCGGTGTGGGGAGCTCCTCTTTGGGTCCCTCTGATCCCAACGCGAGCCGGGATGCTCCGTGCGCTGCCCTGGCGCTTGGCTTCCCCGCCGCTCGCCTCAAAGGAGCCGAGGGCCAGCGGCCGCCTGGGCACGCAGAGCCCCGAGGGCTCCGCGGCCGCTGATTCAGGCTCGGTGCAGGAGGGGCCGGTGCGGAGGTGGTTTTTACTGCGCGTTGTGGGCTGGTCCTGCCTGCTCCGTGTGGCTCCTTCCCTGCTCGCTAAGGAATGCGCAGCCTGTTTGTGGTCTCGGTGCCAAGCCTCAAAAAGGCTGGAGGTGAAAGATCCCGAGCTACAGAAGTACCCGTCCCCAAGGTTTCCTTGCGGCAAAGTTGATGCAGAACGGGAGGGTGGGGGCTGCCTCCTCCTAAACATCGCGTTTTGGGGGTAAACCAACCGAAAACGGTGCATTCCGGCTGCTCCCCGCCCGGAGCATCCCCTTCTCCATTGGGCTGCCATGGGAAAGGTGTTTCTATCCTTGCTTCGCAAAGCCTCGGAAGGAATTGCTGCCCTGCAGCCCCGTTGGTTGTGTAACGTGGGTCCTGCCCTGGCTGCGGGGCTTTTGGGTGCGATGATGCTGATGGCACAAGTAAAGCGGTGTGCGGGGCTGGGAAGTGAGGGATTTCGGTTTGGATTTACGGAGCGGATTCCACGGGGTCCTTTTGAACGGCAGCATTGCTGCTCTGTTGGTAGCTCATCATGCAGGGAAGCGTGAGGAAGGGGAGATTTAGGTTGGATATAAGGAAGTGCTCAAGGCCAGGTTGGATACAGGGGCTTGGAGCAACCTGGTCTAATGGAAGGTGTCCCTGCCCGTGGCAGGGATTGGAGCTGGATAAGGTCCTTTCCTACCCAACCCAGGCTGGGATTGAACTCCCTGCCCTCAGAAGGAGGAACCCTGGCTGCAAGCGCTCGCCTCTGACCTGTGCTGGGGCTGGGACCGCCGCTGGTGCCAGAGTGGGGTTTACAGCTATTAGCGGCAATGGGAAAAAGCTTCGGGGCCTCAAATGTCCCCTTCTGAGGCCAAGAAGCAAAGGTCAGGCCCGGCAAGAGAGTGAACCCTGGGGCAGGGCTCAGAGACACTGAACACCAGCGGGGCTCCTCCCTCTGCTCCGGGGGGGGAGAGGTTGTTTTTAGGCTGAAGGTGACTGGGGACAGCGTTATCTGCTCCTGTGTCCCGTCCGGCTCCTCCGACACCGCGCAGCGCCCAGCAGCAAGGGGGCTCCTTGTGGAACGCCCGGGGTTTGGGAGCTGATTCCATCCCCGTCCCCCTTTGGGAAAGGATGGAGCAGCTCTGATCGATTCCAGCAGGTCGATAGTGGGCTGCGCCCGGAGGCGGTTGCCTTTCCCAGCCTGCCGTTCCCGCTCGGCTTTGTGCTGGGAGCAAAGGGGATGTTAATCCTAAGGGAATGCAAACGGGACTTGCTGTTGTTCCTGCTTGCCCAGGCTTTTGAGCTTGTCTGAACTGCACTAAGTGCCCTCTAACTGGGAGCAAATAACCTTGCAGCGGCTCATTTTGTCAGCAAACAATAATCACCTTGTAGCTGCACAGAACCACCCCGAAGCCTTGATCTTTACCAGAGCCTGTTTGTAACCAGGACGGGGCATTACAAGGTTCTTTGAGTACTCAAAATGAGGGGGTTTAATCACAGACCTGGGCTGTAAAACAGCCTGCCTGGGCACAGGGCCCTGCTTCTGGATTTGCAGCTTGGAGATGAGAAACGCTGATACCCCCATAGGACTTCTGGAGCTCCATCACCTCCCCTTTGAGATCCCTCTCAGTGCCTCGGTGGCAGATGGGGTTAGGTCTCTCCTTCCTCATCCAGGTGTGCTTATTCTTCCAGTTCTTTGCTATGTAAAGCTAATTTGTTCCCCTGAGAGCTGCGGCACTGAGTTGCTGAGGGCTCTGGAATGTGCCTTGCAGACTAACCTGTATTTTCCTGGAGTTTGAGCAAACTTGGGGTCGAAAGCCCGATTTCTCATGGAAACCTCTTCAGGCATTCGCAACGCCCCCAGTTCACTCCCAAACCCAGCTCCTTTGTGCCTGGACACCACAGGGCTGGGTATCCCCAGGAAGCGATGTTCGTATGTGGGATGCCCCATAAACCCGTGTGGGCACAGCTGAAGCGTAGGCAGCGCCCATGTCACAACCTCACCGAGTTCCTCTTACCCCTGAGCTCCTCACGTCCGTGGCCTTGACCCACGGATGCTGTTCTTTCCTGCAGTGGTGGTGCCTGAGCCTCCCTTCCGCCTGCCTGGGACCGGCTCCCCTGGGTCCTGCCCTTCTCCCAGCCCCGTGTCACGGTTGGAGCAGGTTGCTCCTGGTGACCACAGCGCTGGGAGCCCAAAGAACTCAGCAGCTTGGCCTTGTGCAGGCCCACACCTACCTTTGGATCCTCCCCCCCCACCTCCGGGCCTCTTGGCTGCGGGAGCAAAGTGCTGCAGTCCTGAAGCCTGCGGATGCTCCTCACGCCTCTGATCTCATTATTGCTGATCCCGCTCCCCAGAGCTGCCTTGCCTGGGATAAAAGGTGGGATTAGATGTGCTGTGAGGCACAGGTTCTTCCCTGTGAGGGTGCTGAGGCACTGGCACAGGGTGCCCAGAGAAGCTGTGGCTGTCCCATCCCTGGCAGTGTTCAAGGTTGGATGGAGCTTGGAGCAAGCTGCTCCAGTGGCAGGGGTTGGAACTGGATGAGCTTTAAGGTCCCAACCCATTCTATGGCTTCACTGTTTGTATGACGGGGAATGTTTCACCCTTCCCCATACACTGCAGTGTGACCCCTTGTGTGACTGGGGGGGGGATGTCCCCATCTGGATGGTGGCAAATTCCACGTCCTGGTTTGTACGCCCTGGGTTTGCAGCCTGAGATGCAACACTTAAACCCTATCTGAGCTGGGCAGAGCTCAGCAGGGAGGGAAGAGTCGCAGCCATGCGTGTTGCTTGTAGCGGGTGGGTTCTTGCTTTTGCACTAACACTTTGCACTAATACCTCTTCAACTCATAGCTGGCTTTATAAAGTCACCGCTGTCTCAAAAGAGACTGACTCAGGACAGCGTGGAGCTGTACTGCGAGGCCATTGGCACCCCCATCCCCGAGATCCAGTGGTGGTTTGAGGGCAACGAGCCCAATGAGACCTATGCTCAGCTCTGGGACGGAGCACGGCAGGACCGGGTCAGGATCAACGCCACCTACAACCTGCACTCCACCAGCACCATCTCCATCGCCAACCTCACCGGCGACGACTCGGGCACGTACGAGTGCCGGGCCAGCAACGATCCCGACCGCAACCACTTGTCCAAGAGCCCCAAAGTCAAGTGGATCCGTTCGCAGGCGAACGTGTTTGTCATCGAACGTGAGTGGCCCCCCCGAGGCCTTGGCACTTGTTGGGACACCGGTGTCTTGAGTCTCCTGCCATGCTCACCCCTGCACCCGTGTCCTGTGGCTCCCGAAAGCTTCCCCTTCTCACCCTCCCGCTGTAGAACCGAGAGGCTCCCACCCTCTGTCGTCTCCCTCACCGCTGTGACGTGACCCGAAATGGCCCTGCTCAAAAAGGGTTGTGGCTTCCCAACCAAAACGCCCGGCGGCCATCCCGAGGAGCCAAAGACCTGGAACCCCACCGCTTATTCCCGAGTGCCTCCGAGTGCTGGTGCTGCCTTGGTTGTAGAGTTGAGAGTCTCCGTTCTATGGGAGGCTCTGCCCTTTTCCACCACCACTGAGAATCCTTCCCTCCGGCTCGTAGAGCTGCTGCTCCCGCCGTGCTTCCCGCTCGCTTCCTTGCTGCTCCAGACAAGCAGTGGGGAGCAAATCCTGCCTTCTTTTTTGGGGTGTCCCTGAGGTGCAACCGTTTTTGAACGGCCGTGTCTGTGTGCGCCGCTGCCTGGGGTTGGGGTGGGTGGGAGAGGGGGGAGTTGCTTGTCCTGTGGGAGCGACCGCGTTCCTTCTGCTCCGAGCTGATGGATGGGTGGCTGCTTGGAGCTAGAGGAACCTGGGAATGATTTGGATGTGCCTTTAAGGTCCTATTGGGACTGCTCGAGTTAGAGCAGGCTGTTCAGGCAGGCAATGCATAACTCCAGCAGAACCTTCCTGCGAGGGAGTTTGGGGAGGAGGAAGAGCAGGAGCCGGAGTGCAGCAGGGCTATGGGAGAGGTGCTGCTGTGGCAGCTCTGCTCTTGGACTGCCACCCCCAAGCCTGACTCATCTCATGTGTCATTTACTGCTGCTTGGCACGTGGAGGCCCGGGCCCTTTTGGAGTCATGGTTCTGTGTGTCCTAACTGTGACCTCTTGGGCTGCATCAGATGATGCTCGTGGTGTTTGCATACGGGCTCCTTGGTTATGTTACCTGGAGGGAGGGGGTCTAAACCTGCTCAGGTCCTGGGCGGTGGGTGCTGCGGTGGCTCAGAAGAGCAGAGCCATACCCTGCCCTTCCCAATACCACCTTTCCCATTGCTTATTGAGCTCTGCTGGAGCTGCACCCGTTGTAGGGGCAGTGGGGGCTCAGAATCCCCCAGGACACAAGGCAGTGATCCTGCTCGGGGTGGGAGAGGCTATGGGATTCCCATGGGTTATCCCGAGGTGCATCAGGCCCACGGTGCCTGGATATTGAGTCTCCACTGCTGGTATTGTCAGTTCTGGTAGGAAACTGTTGACAGAGGTAAGTGGAAGCTGGGATAGAGACAAGGAGAAGGAGCTGGGCGGGAGTTTGCATCCCAGGGTCTTGGCGCATCACCCCTGGAATGCCGTGTGCTGACTCCAATGGAATTGTCTCCGCATGCAGGTCCGGACATCAGAGCTCAAGTCACCGGTGTTTCTGGGAAGCTGGTCCTGGCCTGCAACATGACTGGGCAGTATCTTCCCATCCAGGGCCACGAGTGGACGCACGGGGACAAGGTCCTCCAAACGGATGCAGACGCCAGCGCTTTCACCAGCTACACGTGAGTGTCGGGAGCAAGGTCAGATAAGGATCTGAACGTGGGCACAGGGATTTCTTTACAGTTAATGGTTCCTGTCAACTGACTGAATGCTTGCAGTCTTGCTGCAGATGGAAGGGTTTAAACGTAAGGTCAAAGTAGAACTAGATTTGGGAATCATAGGATCAACTCCGGAGGTTGGAAGGGACCTTTAATGTTGGGCAACCCCAATGTTTTCCCCTTCGTGGGGAAAAGAGGGGCAAAAAGGAGGAGGATGAAGGGGAAATGATACACCAGATCTCTTAGCCAGAAGCTCTGCTGCTTTATGTGCAGCACGGCTGGGGCTGACACCAGTGGGCCAGAGCTGGACCATTGTCCCTGCCCTGGGGGTGGTTTGCACCTTCCCAAAGCCCATTCCAATGGGAACAAGCCAAGATGCTGTCTGCAGTTGGGGTCAGCATCGAGGAGCTGCTTTGGTTGGGGGAGATGTAATGGGAATACCAGACTCATTGTAGCAGTGCAGCGAGCTTTCCCTTCCCATTACAGTGAGGCCTGGCTGGCTCTGACCCAGCAGCTGGAGAGGCATCGCATCCCTTTGTGTGGTGGTGCCGACGTGCCCGGCTCCCCATAGCAACAGGGAGCTGAACAAGGATTAAAGTATTTATAACCCAGCCTCCCTCGCGTGACCTCGATTCCTCAGCTCAGTGGGTTTGGGAAGTGGGAAGCGTCACGCACGGCCCAAGGAACAAAGAGCCCCTTGTCCCAGGCCAGCTTTGGGGCTCCAACTTCGCTGCCCCTTCCCTGGAGCGCCCGGTCCCAGGCTGTGGAATGAGGTGGTTGTTGCGGTGCAGCGTAATCCACTCAAGCTCATTGCAGCAGCTTTACAGAAGGAAAACAGGAGATTTAGTGCTGAGCTGGGATCTGGCTGGAATAACCCAGCCTGGGTGGCTTTTTCCTCCCCCCCCGCCCCTACTTTGCCATGTGTTTCAGTGGCCTTCTCCATGGGAAGAAAAGCCTCCCTTGGGATCTGTGGTCCAAAGCTCCTTGCCTGGCCCTTTAGAGGCTGGGGTGATGCCTGCCACGAGGTGTGCAGCGTAATGGGAGCCCTTGGGCTGCATTCAGATCCTATTGGCTTTGCTCAGCCTGGGGTCTGTATGGAAGAGGGAAGAGCATGGAAGTAGAGGCCCTGTGGCGTTGGGGTAGGGAGAGAAAGCTGCTGCTCTGCAGGAACCAGGCCACAAGCCCACGAGGTCTCGGTGGTCACTGATTTAACAGACCCGTGTTGGACTTGGTGAAGAGAGGAGGCTGGAGGTTCATGGCGAGGTCTCAATGGGACAAATCGCCTATGGAGCAGAGTGCTGGTGCTGTTTGGTGTCTGTATGCGTGGGGCTGGGCTTTGGGGTCTCTTCGTGGCACTTGTGCCGGATGCTCATGCGCTCTCCTGGTTTTTGGTAGGATCGAGGGGAAGATGGAAGAGCACTCTGGTGTCTATGAGTGCGTCTACAAAACAAACCCAGTGATAAAAGGACATCTGAATATCTCAGGTAATTCCAGTTGCTTCCGGGCCCGAGTGGGGAAGCTGTGACTTCCTCCACGTTTTATAAAGCTTGTTTTAGCCCTTCCTCATAAAGGATGCTACCAGAAGCAGCTCGGTTTTATCAGGGTTTCTATGGGCAAGTGAGGGGACCAAACCCCCTAACCAAACCCAAGCTTTCTGGTGACCTGTTTGTGCCCAGGGAATACAAACCCAGGTGTTTCCTTCAAGGAAGTGTCTTGATTTCCCTTTCTCTTGCCATAGTTCCACCCCAAGTGACGGCGTACAAGAAGTCCGAGCACGGCAACGAGGGGGACACGGGAGTGCTGGTCTGCAAGTGCAGCTCGTTCCCTCCTGTCACCTCGTGGGTCTGGTACAAGCATGGCCAAGATGTAAGTGCTGTGCTTTGATGCTCCTTCTCCCATTCTCCTCCTGCCCAGCAAAGGGGCAGAGGACCTCGCTCCCATCAGCAGCAGCTCCTTCAGAGCAGGCTGCTCAGTGCCGTGGCAGCGGTAGGACCCACGCACAGGGAGCGAGCATCTCCCTTGTGCATCAGCACCGCCATGAGAGCTGTGTCTTCCTCCCCTCCAGCCCATCATCAATGGGTCTGGGCGCTACATCATCAAGTCCAGTGGCAACAAGACGGAGTTACGCATCCTGAAGCTGAACATTGAGGAGGACTCGGGTGATTACCACTGCAATGCAACCAATGCCTACGGGCAGGGCAGCGCCACGGTGAGCCTGCGCGTCCGCAGCCGCCTCGCAGCGCTCTGGCCCTTCCTGGGCATCGTGGCAGAAGTCCTTGTTCTCGTCACCATCATCTTCATCTATGAGAAGAGGAGGAAGCCGGATGAGGTTCTTGATGGTAAGAGGTGGGGGGGGGGGGGGGGGGGTTAAATCTTTATGGGGAGATGAAGGAACTTGGAGGGTGCAGGTGAAATGTGCCACGGGGTGGTCTCCATCAGACTACTCGAGGTGTGAAGTTGCAACCAATGGCCCTGTTGGAGAGGCCTGCAGCAAGCTCTGCTTTGGGTCTGGCTGCATGGGGGTCAGCCTGACCCAGTGTCTCTCGGTGCCCCTGCGTTCTGCAGGCGCTGGAGCAGGACTGGGTTGTTCCTGTGCTGGAGGAGCTGGTTTCTGAAGGAGGAGGAGAGGTTTTCCTGGTGCTGCAGAAGTCAGGGACTGTGGGAGTGAAGGCTGAGCTCAAGGCTCTGGGTTTGGACCTTTAGATCCACACATCCTGCCTGGAGGAGCCCGGTGCTATCTTGAATCTGTTCTGGAAATACCGGCTCCTCCCTTTCCTTATCAGTAAGGATCTGCATTGTGTGAGCCCAGCTGCTCCTGCCTTATCTGATCCAGTTAACAATGAGGTGTAAAGGGTTGGTATCCTTCCTGCCTGCCGGGGGGGGGGGGGGACACAGACCTGGGCTGTGAGGTGCAGGGGAGGGACTGAAATTCCCAAATAGCCCTGCCCTGCCCACAGGGGTTGAGGAATTCCACTCGAGGTGGTTTTTACAAGCAGATGCTTTGTCCCTCCGAAGCTCTTGGGTGGGAAGCAGATGCCTTAAGGATGTTGTAGCTGCATCTTCCCCATCTATAGCCTGTGTGTGGTGAGTGGTCCGGCTTCTGATGGCATCAGCCTGGTCCACACCATGTCCAGTGCTGACCCACTGTAGCAGATGCTTGGACACAAAGACAGGGGGTGTGTATATTGAAGTGTCCTTGGGCAGAGCACTCAAGCACACCTCCCTGCTGTAAAGTGCTGCTCTTCCTCAAAGGGCTTTTGTAGCTTTGCCCCTCTGGAGAGCTCAGACAAAGGCTGCTCCTGGGGGGGTGTGGTTGTGAATTGCCTGCTCCCTGTTACCTGGGGTAGGGAGAAGCCCTTGGGGTACGGTATGATATCCTTGCTGGTGTTATCTTTCCACTCTTCCCTTCTCTGCTGCTGGGTACCACCTCGCACGGTAAGGAGCTAGTTCCAGCCCTGTTTCTGCCTCTATCCTCTCACCAGCTGCCTGCAGGTCGTGGTGCCCAAGGCGGTCCTGATGCTTCAGTGCTGTTTGAGGACTGGGCAGGAGATGATGGGGAACCTTCTGTTGGGGGGTGACACATTGCAAGGAGCTGGTGAAGGGCTCGGCACGTGGTAGAGGTGTTCTCTTAGCTGTGGTTCTCAATGTAGCAGGGCTGTGGTGTGAGTGTGTTCCTCCTGATCCCCCCCAAACGCTGCTGAAAACCTCACTCCTGGAACACCCTCTGTGGAATCCCCTCTGGCTGTTGAAGCCTGAGCTTTGGGAGCCATCTGAGGGGCAGCAGTGGGTAGCTCCATGGCAGCCTCTCCCAGTGCATCTGTTCCTCTCCCACTTGTAAGGACTGGGGATGGGAAGAGCTGCCTGGGGATGCACAGGCTGGCAATGCCAAATGGATGCCATCGAGCCTCTCTGGATGCTTCCCAGGTCTGCCTCATGCCTTGGGGTTGATGAGGCACCAAACCTGAGCTGTGCTCGGGAGCAGGGGGGTGATGGGGACTTCGTTATCCCCTGAGCCCAACCTCAGCCCTGTGCCAAGAGAAGCCACTGCATAACAGCAGCTTATGTCTAAGTCTGTGCCTTGCCTAAGCCAAGACAAGAAGCAGCTTGGGGGGGCAGTAGCCCCCTGCTCTGCCCTGGGGGTGAGCTGCCCTTTGGGTTCAGCCCTGTTGGGGCAGTGGCATCCAATGAATCCCATGACCTCCCTGGAATGCAGCCCCTAGAGGCTTAAGAGGTGGCAGAGATTGCATCTTCCCTGATGTTTGTTCTTTCTTCCTTCCATGCTGTGTGGAACGTGAAGATGATGATGGAGGCTCTGCACCACTGTAAGTACCTCTTTTCCTGCTCAGCCAGATCTGTCCTGGCAGATCTCATCCAGGGAATGTGCTCTGGCTGGTGTGGGGATAACTCTGCTGGCTTGGGAGGCTTTCCCCCCCCCCTTAGGTTCATTGAATGGGGTCTGTGTATAAACCACACAGAACTGGAGATGGCACCCGTGCCTCAAAACTGGCTCTCTTCTGGTCCCTCATCTCCTCTTGGCCATCTTTAGGACCTGAATTACATCCGTGAGTCCTTGCCATTTGACTCCTTGTAAAAGGGAATCTTCAAACACTGGAACATGGGGATGAGCTCTCCCCTGAGCTGCCTTTCCTCACGTGCTGCTGAGTCCTTGGGTCACCCTTGTGGCCCTTCTGGAGCCCCTCCAGCCTGGCCACAGCTTGTTTTGTGTTAGTGGAGCCCAAACCCGACCCCAGTGCTCCACTTGCTGCCTGAGTTGGGACAGTGGCATCCCTGTCTCTGCTGGGGATGCTCCAGTGTCCTGCTGGCTCTTTGCTGCTCCTCTGGAGCTTGTGCCCATCAATGGGGCTTCCTCCTCACTGCCCCTTTTCTCTTCCCAGGAAAAGCAATGCCACAAACCACAAGGACAAGAACGTCCGCCAGAGAAACGCGAACTGAGAGCAGGGGCCAGGTGAGTGCCATTCCCAGGGGGAATTGCAGCTGAGAGGGGCTGGGCTGGGCTGTAAGCTACCTGGACCCCTGGAGCCATCTGCATGTGCCAAGGGGAAAGGGAGAAGGCAGCGTTGGGCTCCTAAAGGATGGGAAAGTGAGGACTGTGGGATAACTCCTGCCCACAGCCTTCATCCTGCGCCGCTCCATCACCCTCCCCTAGCACAGCCTGACTGCTCCCACTGTGTTCTCACTGGCTTTGCCTTCTCTCCCTGCAGGTGATGTGCAGCTGAAGAGCTCATCTGGATAACTTTTGTTTTCTTCTAATCCTCTTGTCGGGGCAGGGGGGGTAAAATAGCAGCAGGAGATACCCCCGAGCATCCTCACAGCGCAGATCCTTCACTTCCTAAAGAGATTGCAGTTGTAGAACCTAAAATACACTTTTTCTTCTTTTTTTTTTTTTAAAGAGTTATGGGAGGGTTTTTCTACCTGTAAATGTAAATCCCTTGTTTCTGGTAGTCTCTGCCTGTCTCTGTTTAGGTTTCTTGCTATTGGTCCACGGGTTGGGTTGGGAGAGCATCATTTCCTCACCTATTGGAAGAGCAGGGACGCCCTCCTGGCCCCACTGTTGTGCTTTGGAGCTGGGGTAAGACCTGAAGGTGCAGCTCCTCTTGTGCTGCTCTGGTGCTGACCTGAGCATCACCAGCAGCAAGGCTGCCCCTTTCCCTCATGTGGAAGTGCTGATTCCAAGCAGCATCTCCAGAGCTTCCTGAAATGCTCTTCAACAACCCTGAAGCAGCGTTAGAGCTGGATATGGATGGGTACCGTGGCTGTGAACATAGGGAGTGGGCTTGGATCTCTTCTCCCCTTGCTGCAGCGGGGCTGGGGGCAGTTTAACCGCGTGTGTTCTTGTGCTTGAGCTGTTGGGGTTTGGGAGGTAGGAGAGTGAGCAGCTGAGTGCTTCGTGCAGTCTTAATGCCTGTAGTGCCGGGTAGCAGCGAACTGTTCCCTCTGTTAACACACAAATAAAGACGATTCCTCTCTCTGGGTTTTTTTTCCATCCCTGCCTGGCCTCTGCTCTCTTCCCTGGGGGTTGGAGCCTGATCCCCTGGCTCATTCCTGGCCGTGGAGCACGGGGCCGTGTCTCAGCTTGGTGCCAGCTCTCGTGTGCTGTGCTCTCATCACCCTGTACGTGCAGCTTGAGGCTTTCAGCCCAATGCCAAGGGGATGAGCGCCGCTCTGCGGCACCTGGAGGGGTGCTGGGGGCAGTCCCTTTGCCCTGCTGCATGGTCATTCAGCATCGTGTGGCCATGGGGTTATGGAGCCTTTGCAGGATGTGCTCCAAGCAGTTCTTTTTGCTGGGGGAAAGGTTTGAGGCCTTTGTGCACAGTGTGGTGCCTGTGGAGTGAATGGAGGATGTGCAAAGGGGGGGTCCCTTTGCTATTAGAGCTCCAGCCCTTGGAGTGGAGCAGGGATGGCTGTGGGCTGCTGAGGAGTCACTGCATGCCCTTGGGCCATGGCCTTGAAGCCTCTCCCTGCCTGCGAAGGGGTAATTTGGGAGCGTGGCTGTGGTGAGGTGGCAGCAGCCGTGGTGCTGCGTCCCTCCTGCCTGTTCCTGCTGCAGCAGCTCGGGCTCTGTGCTGTGTAAGTGGGTTATGCAAAGCTTTCCGTGCTGGCGGGTGCCATCCTGGTGAGAAATCAATGCAGGGCTTCATTTCCTTGATGAGGATGATGGGTCCTGCCTGCCCTGGCTCTGCTGCAGCACAAAGCACTGCTTGTGCCTCTTGGTTGGCAAGGAGGGGGACAGCCAGCCTGGGGAGGGATGGGGCAGCAGCATCGTGCTGCTCCCCTGCGGCACTGCCAGGGATGAGGTGAACAAGATCTCCATCAATGGGAGAGCGCGGGTGTCCCTAGTGCATGTGGGGCTCCTGCTCAGCCTCTTGATGCCTGGGGGTGAGCCCTGAGCTGCCACCTCGCTCCTGGGGGCTCCAGCCTCCGGCTCCGTTCAGTGCTGGGTCATCGGGGGCTTCTCCGTGGGCTTGGGAGGAACGGGCTCTCCCCTTGCAGGGGGTGACTTGGTGCGGAGCGAGCCTGGAGCACCCCTTTTGGGGCGTCTTCTCCCGTGGGGCTCGGTGGAGGGCCCGCAGCTGCTCCCCCTATCCCGAGCACGGAGCGGGGCTGGTGCGGGAGCGGGACTCACGCAAGGTCCGGTTGCGCTTCCGCGCCGTGGGCAGCAGATGGTGCCACCGGCCGCGTTCTCCGTGAGGCACCGTGAACCGGAGCGGGTCCCCGTGTGCTCGACGGTGCTCGGGGATGCCGGTAGCGGGAATTGCTCGTTCCTCGGCGGGAGCCAGGTGGGGCTGGTCCCGCTGACACCGAGCATCGCACCCGCTGTGTCTGGCGGAGGTGTCCGTCCCGCTGCTGCTGCACCCGGGTATGTGAGAGCCGCCCTGTGCTGCGCTGCCAGCCCGGAGCCTCCATCCCCTGTGCCCACCCCCGGCGGCCGGCTCGGTGCAGGAGGCTCAGGACAAGGGGAGAGGGATGGGGGCAACCATGGGGTCCTTGGGGCTTCCGTCCTCAGCCCAGGGGTGCTCTCGGGCCGCTCTGAGCCCTCCCCCGGGGCCGGCGCACGGACACGGGTGGGCTTCCAGCGGGGCTGCCGGTGCCACCGGCGAGGACCGCGCCGGCGGGGGGAGCTGCGGAGCCGCCCGTTCCGCAGCCCGGCCCCGCCGCCCGCCTCCGGCCCGCCCCGGCCCGCCCCCGCCGCGGCGGCGGGCGCCACTCGGCCGCCGGTGGCCTCGGCAGCGGCAAGGATGCGGGCGGGCCGCGGGGAGGCGGCGGCGGCGGCCGAGGAGGATGCGGCCGATGCGGCCAAGCGCGGCGGGGGAGCGGCGGGAGGGCGGGCGCGGGGCCGCGGAGGGAAGGGGTCCCCGAACGGCGAGTGCCGGCGAGGGGAAGCGCCGCGGAGCCCCGGCCCGGAGCCGCCCCGGGAGCCCAAGGTCTCCTTCTCCTGCGGCGGCGGCGGCGGCAGCGGGTCCCCCGGCGGGGCCAAGGCTGCCGAGGAGGGAGCGGGCGAGGATGCGGGCGAGGAGGCCCGCGGGAGCCAGGCCAGCTTCATGCAGCGGCAGTTCGGGGCCATGCTCCAGCCCGGCGTCAACAAGTTCTCGCTGCGGATGTTCGGCTCGCAGAAGGCGGTGGAGCGGGAGCAGGAGCGCGTTAAGTCCGCGGGGGCCTGGATCATCCACCCCTACAGCGACTTCAGGTGCGACCGGGACGGGAACGGGGTTAGGGGAGGGGGGGGCTCCGGGCGAGGGCACCTTGAGCTGTGCTGGGCGGCAGCGCTGGATGCTGGTGCGTGCGGGGAGGGGCTGGCGGCCGAGCACCCCCTCCCCGGGGGAACCGGGATACCCGGAGCCCTCTCCTTGGATCAGGGGGTGCCTCCCGCGCACCCCCTCGGCGTCCCCCGGGCCCAGCACGGACCCTGCAGAGCCCCACCGGGCTTTGGCTCAGCCCCGGTCCCTGCTGCCGAGGCAGGGCTTTGCGGAAGCTCCCCACACACACACACACCCCAAACCAGGGAGGCCTGATCCTGTCCTTAGGATTCAGGGAGTTCGGGAGGGATTGAGCTCGCTCCCAAGACGAGCGGAGTCCTCCAGGTTTCCAGCTGAGGAATGGCAAAGCCGGGGAGGAGGACTCTGCAGCTCCATCTCCTTCCCTGAGCCCTGGGGGAGCTCAGCAGGGGCAAACGCTTCCCGAATCCCACCAAAGCTGCTGGGAAGGATGCGTGGCTCGGCCGGCTGTGGCCTATGGCACAGCACCTTGCGGGATGGGTGGCCAAGACCCTGCTGGCATCGCTGGTGACCAGCTACCGGGGGCCACTGGCCCTGTGACCTCAAAGGGCCTGGAGGGTCTTTAGGCAGTGGCTGAGGGAGGATGAGGGGCTCCGCTCTGGGTCGATCTGCTGCTGGTTTGCTGCCTAGCTTGGGGAGGCTCGAGGAGGGGTTGCTGGGTGTCGCTGTGGGGATGCTGCTGAGCCAGACCCCGGGATCTGTTCAGGTCCCCACCAGCGCAGGGGTCCCCGGTGCAGGTGGTGGGGTCTCCATTGGCCAAGCAGGCTCAGAGCAAGGACCAGCACCTCCTGCTCCCACCCTCACGTGCGGCTCCTGGGCTGATCCTCCACAGGAGCAGCCGGAGGCCTCCCCATAGGGAACCCGCTGTGGGTACCCCTCGGAGCCTCCTCCTTGGCTCTGGGCACCGGGTTCTGCTGCAGAGCCGGGCTGAGGAGCAGCTCGGTGCCGCGGTGACCGAGCAGACGTGGCGGTGCCAGGCAGGGGCTGCTGAGCCGGGGGATGCTGCCCCTCTGGGCAGGAGGCCGGGAGCGCGGTGACAGCACCGGGGCCAGAGCCTGCCCTGCTTCGGCGGCGGAGCCCGTGGGGCTGCTGAGAGCGGGGCCTCCCTGCGGCGAGCCCGTGGTGGGAGCGAGGCCTCGGAGGCTCCCGCAGCTCCGCTCCCCGCCGGGGTGACCTTGGGGAGTCACCGTGTCCGCCTGCCCCGCGCTGCCTCCATCCCTCCCCGAGGCGCTGCCAAGACTTGAAACCCATTGGGGAAGAGCCGCTGCCCGTGTTTTGATGCTGCAAGTGGCGTAGGAGAGTTCCCTGCCCAGCGGGGAGGAGCTGCGGGCAGAGCCCCGGCATCGGCATCGCCTGGCTCCAGTAACGTGCACAGGGACAGGGTCGGCTCCATGCTCATGCCTGGTGCTGGGGAAGCTGCGTTGGGGACGTGCGTCCGTCATTGTCCTGCCTTACACAAATAATCCCCTCTTTATCTCCCAACGATAACGGAGCAGGAACCCAGCCTGGCAAAATCCATTTTGCCATCAAGAGGAAATCATTGCCCATCTGCATATGTGACATCATTTCATAATCGGTCTCATTTAGAGATCCTGTCTCCTCCTGGACACGGCACTGCCATCATTCCTGCACAGTTCAGGGGCAGGCTGGCTCCAGGAACCCAAGTTGCTATTTACATGAATCTGGGATTATTGGGAAGCAGCTTGGGGCTGCTGGTGGGGATCCTGAGGCACAAATCTGATAAAAGAGCCCTGGTAAATGGTGCTGTTTCCTCTTGGGTGCTGTGCACGGTCATCATCTCTGTCTTTGCTGCTTCTGGTCTTTGTCAATGCCCAGCTTAGCACTGACTTCTTCATCGCTTCTGTTGGCGTGGGATCGGGAGCTGGGGGGGGGCACATCCATGGTCAATCCCTTCCCACGCTCACAAGAGTGGGTCCCACACTTGAATTGGGGGTGAAGCAGCATCCGGAGCATGTGTCTCCGGTGCTGCTTGGCCAGAGCCTCCCTCATCTGGTGTTAAACTGGTTTCTGGGGCTTTGCCACTGCCAGGATGGTGCCACCGATCCGATGATGCCGTGCTGGGGCTCCTGAGCAGCAGGACCGGGGGGCTGTGGTTCCCTGTGGCTGCTGCTGGTCCCAGTGTTAGCAAGTGCTGAGGGGTCGTTCTACCCCTCTGTGGCATCAGTGTGGGGCAGTCAGACCCAGGGGATGCTCAGCAGGGAGGAAGGCTGTGACTGGGATTGGGAAGGTTCTGGCCCTTGAGCAGTTCCCAAAGGCTTTTTCCTTCCTGCCCTTCCTAAGGGACCCCACAAGGTAAAAGGCTTTTCCAGCACCAGTCGCTCAGCACCGTTGGTTGTACTGGGATGCTCGCCTGGCTCCGGCAAACTTTGGCTGTTTGTTGGCTTCTTAACCCACTTCTAAGAACGACCTCGTTTCTGAATCTGAGCGTTCAATGTGAGTTTGTGAAGTGCTGATCCTGCACCGATCCCACACGGATCCCGCACCGATCCCACACCTATCCCGCCGGGCAGCCCAAGGGGCTCAGCCCTTGGGGGCACCTCCTGCAGAGTAGGCTCTTGGGCAGCTCAATGGGATCACAGGGAAGGGGAGTGATGGAGCAGCCCCGGCGCTCAGAGGCTTTGGGCATCTTCTGCCATCATCGCCATCACTCAACTGGGTCAGAAGCAAGCGAGAGGGTGCTGAGGA